ACACCCATGCATTGCTATTCCTGAGGACTAAAGTGTTATGTTTCTGTACCCTGTAAATTTACTGCCATATCTCACCCTTCAAACTGAAACAACTATACAAATACACTATGCTATTAACTAAAACGTATTACCACTATAAAGTTTGCATCTACTTCATATTTTACTTAGAAAATTTTCAAACACATTTTTACCATCAAAATTTATATTTTAAAATTAGTGACAGTTTAATAAGAATATTATTGCATAATTAACATTTAACGTTGAAATTTGACAAACTATTGCGATGTTGCCACACTTCAGTAAGCTATAGTTAAAGAACAGTCTTAAATAATAATACAGGGTAAATGGTATACTATTACTATAGAAATGGTTATACCGAATGATGAAATTCATAAAATTGAATTGCCTTCCCGTTGGATGTTATTTTTGAACTTTTTTATACAAACCGTGAGATCATGTGAAGGATTTATTATGAAAGATTAAAAAAAAAAATCCAATTTTGGGTAAGCTTCTTAGGAAAGTAGGTTCAACTTCATGTATACTTCACTGTATGTCGTTTTTTATACACATGATACCTATACTATGCAAGCTTTAATATGTTACTTAATAATTATTCATTTAAACTGACTTGACTAATTAAACATTTGTGAGGTGGATGGTAATTTAGATTGAAATCAATAATCGTCCAAGTTCCTCTCTAATTAAAAAACAATTAACTAATGAAAAAAAAGTTACAGCGAAGATTCAGAAGCGACTGTGTCCGCTCCGGATGCCACGCTTACATCGGCGGATGTAAACACTTCCACGTGCGTCCGCCCGCGCCCTCCCAGATCCTCCGCATGGGATGGGACGGGATCCGGCAGATTCCCCCTAGTGCCGGCTAATGTACGAATATATGTAAACAACTGTAACATTCATAACCTGTCTTTTACAATTGATTTGTTACATTTCTTTATGGACCCTTGTGATAACAGAGGATTAATTAATACCTAAGTTAATAAAATTAAAAAAAAATTAAATTATCATTACATTCAGTTTGTACGTGTCATTGTTAACATCTTTTTTATTTTTAATCTTTACGCAAGTTCGCGTTCATACACAATGTTTATAAGACGATAATTATTAAATTATATAACAAAGATCCAGTTATTAACATATTACACATATAACCCGAGTTCCCACATCGTTATGGTGACGTGAAAATGACAATTTTCACCGCGCGATTTCTATTTCAATCCAATTTTCCCGGCGCGCGGAGAAACCGATCGCTCCAGTTGCGCGAGTACGTCCCACATCTCTGCTAGAAAGTATCATAGAAAGTAACGTCGTAAGCCGATCTCCGCTCAATCGATGCATTGATCACATGTACAGCACTTTTTCTGCATCAGTTTTACTAGTTTGCAATGTGGAGACGCCCGTAGTGGAGCCACGTCATATTGTTAATTCGAGAGTTGGCCTTCCACAATACTACGTGTGCTGGCGACGATTCTTCTACTAAATCAAGTTGCACAATAATAGAGAACGCGGAACGTTCTGTTCACAAACGATCCGGTGACGCATGACAACCACGAAACATGCCTTGCGCCTATGCGTTGTATTGTGTGCTTACTTTCGCCACACCCAAATTTATTACGTGTGCTGTATATGTAGGCTTGTGCAATACCCACTTTTGGCCAACTTTCACTAGACGCTTACGCGGCACGCCTGCAAAATTATTGCGATGCCACTTTTCTGAGGTCACAGTGAAAGTATTCTGTATTACACATTTAATTGATGCTTCATACCTGTCTCCAACTCGGATCATAGCATTTCAAGGGATTTTAAAAATGGAGTTCAAAATATTTATAGACGCCGAAAAAAGTATAAAAATCAAAAACAAATCTACCAGATCTTGAGCAAAAACTAAGCTCGCGTGAGAGGAAAAACGAGTTATTATTAGATGGTTGAGAATCGCGAGTTTGCTTCGAGCTCTGATGCTATCATAAATAATGTGGCTGTGCGGTGAGCGTAGCGGAGGAGCGGAGGGAGGCAGGGCCTCAAGAGTCAAGGCCGCACGCTGCCCCCGGTCGACGCTCGCGTCCCACTTGTCGTTCGAGCAGTTCTCGCTCATTCAACCGACCAGACCCGAGCGTCGCCGAAGCGACACGAACTAGACCTTCCAATGCGCGGGCGCAACACACTGAACAGCTGAGACGTAATAACATAACACACTGACTCGGTCATCCGTGCGTTCAACTTTTGATTAGCTTTCTTTTTCACGGCTAATAAATTTTGTTGTTACTAATTATGGATAATAACAACAGTTATTACATAAATTCAATCTCAAATAATATTATAAATATTTTTTAATTTATTTCATAAAAATAAAACTATTTAATAAAATATTCAATAGTATTTTTAATTATGTAATATTAGAAATGAAAAAAATATTTATTACTAACTTGTAATCGAGACCGACATATGCAAGACCGAGGTATATTTACTGGCCGAGATAAAAAGTGTCCTCCATCCCATATAGAACGTGTGTACCAAATTTCATAGTGGTTAAGCCGTTAAGGCTCTATAAGGTAACAAATAAATACACAAACTTACTTTCACATTTATAATATAAGTAAGGGTTCATTTATTAAGATTACAACAATATATAAGTTTACTTTGAGTAAAATTTTATATGCATTACTATTATTTCCATAGGTAATTTTCATTTTATCATTAACCTACGCCGCTCCATTTCAGGGCAAATACATTCCTACTCTCTTTTTAAATATATATTTTTAATTTAAATCATAATAATGTAACAGTTTATAACGGTCACCTTTTTAAAACTTCAGAACAAACTAGATTTAAAATAGCTAACACTTTCACCAGGCGTAGCTCGTAGAACCGATTAATTGCATCATTTGCGGGCAAGCCATAAAAATGTTATTTAACTCTACATTTAACCTAAATACCAATTAGGTGCATTAATGGAATTATTAAATTTGTTCTTTTTCATTTCATTGTCTATTATGTTTTCAATTACCCATATTTCGAGAGATGGTAAAGCAACAAGGTACATTTGCCTCAGGTAAAAAAGGTCGAGACTTTTGTTTAACCAATTGTGGGAATAAATATTTTTACAAATTATCTGTTCTTTTCTGTGCCGCCAGTCTCTAGCCTAATTATTTATTACTAGTGATTCATTCCGGCTTCGTACGGGTAAATAGATAGATAATATCGCCTATATTTCCCGCTGCTAATATAGTTGTTTATAGGTTTTTTTTTTAAATCGGTTAAATAGTTTTTGAGTTTGTTCATTACAAACAAACACATACAAAACATACGCACTATTTTAATAAAAAAAATGGATACTTTTCAGTTTTCTAGTAGTATATCTACTACTGGAAGAAGATATATATTTACAAAGTATTGAAGTCTGGAATCAAATTCAATGTAGATAGATACTCATAATACGCTATAATAGTCTACACTTGACCCCTTTAATGATGATCATTCGTTTGGCCAAGCCACTCCTTTTCTCGTACTAGATGGTAATTTCAGCAGATATTGACATAAATATAATATAGCAGAATTGGCAAGCGCCAATGTAAACAAGGTCGATGTATTTAGTCAAGCAATGAAAAAATTCAGAGAACGAATCGTAATATAACGATATGAACTATTCAGATCAAAAACCTCTAGATAGCCCCTCTACAAATGTTCCGCCAAAAATAGCTCAACGTTACCTAAAAATGGCATGCTTTTAAAATTATATTAATCATATAATTGATGACTTTTCATTACTCAAACTCTCATTTTATTTTTAAGTTTAATATTATACTTTCAAACTTTCGTACGGTTTTCAACACGATATTAAATATTTGATTACTACGCGTTAGCAAAATATTGGCTGATTGTTTTTGGGTCGTTTTTCAACTTGGACGCCCCATCTAAATGCATATGACCTCATCACGTATAATACAATATTTATTGTCTATAACTTCAATAAACCTGACAAAAATAGTGTTTACATAATAGATAGAATTAACTAAGTTTATCAATAAAATAACCCTATAATAATTACAGTGAGGACTCGACCTTACAGTGGGCAAAGCGAGGACGTTTAAGCTGGCTCTGATCCCACGTGGAACTAGTTTTTTTGGCAGCAGCTATTTCGGCTGGTTGCGTAACGCAGGTACCTCGGACCGCGGCCAGCGACCCGCCTGCCGCGCCTTAATGGACACAAATAAAATGTAAATAAAATTAATGACCAGAGAAGCTTAAATGGACCCTATTTTGACCGATGTGAATACGTAGACTTTCAAATATATTCACTGCGCTTTAGAATAATTACCACACTAAACATAAGTGTAAATTATGCCCTTAACACATATACATACTTAATGTGACACGGAAACATTAGGAACCTAATGCCAAATTTGAACAGGATACCAATACGAAGAGTACGTCGCAAAAATACGTGATTACCATACCATACATGGCTAATAAATTTAAGTGGTAACATTGTTAGATGAAGATAAAGTGCTTTAACAGATTCGTCGGTACCCTCGTCTGACTTTTTATGGAGTTTCGACTACCGTGATTGACAATTACCGATTACATTTCCATCACACATCGCACACCCTGCTCCCGTCGACATTGGGAATACAAAATCGAACGAACGAACTAATCAGTATGCGAACGATGGTTCTAGCCACCTTTTGTTTGAGCAGGAAACGTCCACGGTGCCGCCGAAAATCACTTGCGAGTGTGTGTGTCGTTACATCTCTTCGCCGAAGAAATATCAGACCGAAATTTTTAAATGAAAAACAAAAGCGAGGTACTCGTTTGTCCGCCAGCACGACAAATGGTTCATGAAATGTATGCAAATTTTATAGCGTCCGATTTTAGATATTCTCGACACTCGACGCCCCTGGCCACCGGGCTCAGTCTTCATTTATTGCGCAGTTGCATTTAGCGTGCAACAAGGAATACTAAAGTTTATTTATGTTTTATTGCAGGTCGCGAGGACTTGTCACCGGCATCGAGTGTAAACGGGTGTAGTTCAGATGCGCGACGGCAAAAGAAAGGACCCGCGCCCCGTCAACAGGAAGAGTTATGCCTTGTATGCGGCGATAGAGCCTCAGGATATCATTATAATGCGCTCACGTGTGAAGGATGCAAAGGTATGTATGTTTACAAGATTGATTCGTATAAATTTCTAATATATATTCTACACTGTAACATACAATGTTTGTGATTTATCCTGATATATATATTCTGTGTCAAGAATCGATTTTAATAAAATTTTATTAATGCTCCAGGTAGGGAGATAGAATAGTTTTTATCCTTATAAGTCGGTAGGTTGCAATAAAGAGTAAAACGACGTTTGTTGGATCAGCTAGGAATTGTAGAAATCAATAGTTTGTAATTTAGATTAGATTAATTATTTATACAATGCATTACTCATATTTAAGATAAAAAAGTCGAATGATTATTGAATAATAGATAGTATAATTTTAATAAGCGTTATTGTGCTTCAAGAACATGAATCAAAACGATTTCTTATTGAATATTACTGCTAATATTTAATATTCTTATCCATACTAATTCGACAATTTGTTCATTTTCAAAAATGTTTATCGTTATTAAAGGAATTTCCATGAAAAGTTTTTATGCCATAATAAGTAACAAGCATACAGCCCATCTGATAATAAATGATTACCATAACCATTGGACCCCAGCAACACCAATATAGAAGTGTAAAAATGGATATTGGGCAAAATATGGTATCATAAATTTAACAAACCAAAAAAAGTCGCGACTCGCGAGTAATAAATAATTTGTTGAAAAAAAGTATTTTTTTAGAAGATTGTTCTTTAGACAATTGTCTAATTACTAACAACTGAGAAAAAAACACAAGTTTCTTTGCGTTCAAACTATAATTGTATAAGTACCATTCAGGTTGTCATTTTGCCAAATATTTTTAAAAATAATAAACCGACATAGGAAAAAGTCGTGCAAATCGGCTGTTCGGGTATACTTTATCTCAATCATGTTTCCATATAACTGTGCTTACATGGCAATATTTTGATTTACTGAACGGAAAATAGCAAATAAATTACTAGGTACATAACTATAACAGCTATCAGAAATGAGAACAAATGAGCCGAATAGAACCCGCGTAATACTATATATATAATGCCCATGGTGCTTACCTACTGTTAAGGTCTGCAAAAAACAGATGAGACTTTTCAACAGGCTGTAAACTTATTTGCCGTCCCAAATTATATAAAAAACAAAGTTCCATGTAGGTTCCTGTTTCATACTGCCAAGGTACATTTCACGTAGTTCTCAGTCGTTGGCCGCCTACGAACGTGCCAATTCAGCGTTGAATTAGCGTATTGTGCCGTGAGAGGCAGTTACGAGCTGTGTGTGCATATCTTAGTCGTGTTGTCGAGACAAACGTCACAATAACTGTCTGCAACGTGTCTGGTACTCTGATCTTGATTCACGCCAATCGTACATCGCTTCCAACCTTCACCCACAACCTGAATTTACATTTACCCTATCTATAGTATACCCGATACAATACATCGAATAAACTAACATAAAACAACCTATAATCTATATGTAGCGCGTTGTACAATTATGTCCAATTCAAACAATTTACACGCTATCTATCTTGTTTATTTTGTACAATAAAAATCGACGTTTGTACCTACTAAACTAGCAGCAGTCGCTGTCAATGACCTGTGCTTTTCAGTACAACTTTACACGCATACGTGCAATCCTATCTTATCTTCTGAACATGTAGGTACACAATTTATATGTTTCATCACTTTTAGTCATAATTCTTTTTTAATTTATAAATAAAGAAAGTGAATCTGTATACGTTTTTGTTACATTTCCACTTGTACCTAGTATTTTCTCTTATGTGATTACATTTAATGGAATTTACCAGAGATAGCTTTAAAATGAAGTACGGACGTTAGCCTCTGACGCCGCAAAATAATTATTAATATATAAACAATGATAAATGTGTTTGCAAATATTTTAATTGTTTCTTATCTTTGCAATTTCAGGATTCTTTAGGCGGAGTGTTACCAAAAATGCAGTGTACATATGCAAATTTGGTCATGCGTGCGAAATGGACATGTATATGCGGCGGAAATGTCAAGAGTGTCGGTTAAAAAAATGTTTGGCGGTGGGCATGAGGCCCGAGTGTGTGGTTCCGGAAGGCACGTGCGCGCTGAAAAGGAAAGAGAAGAGGGCGCAAAGAGAAAAAGACAAACTGCCAGTGAGCACAACGACAGTAGACGATCACATGCCGCCCATAATGCAGTGCGACCCACCACCCCCGGAAGCTGCGAGGATTGTAAGTTTTCTTATATCTCATTTTATTAATGCATGAACAAATTGCAATGCAATATTGTTAATTAAAACTGATTCTCGTATCATTATTAAAAATGTTTTCCTGTACACTCTCATATCTAAATATATATAAATTAAATACTGCCTAATCTTGTTAGCTATAAGTAAATGTTAATCGTTTCACCGTGAAGCGATAATAACGTAGCGGTTTCCTACGTGAAGCTGGAATGTTTACAGCACGAAGTGGTCCCGAGGTTTCTATCAGACAAACTGATGGAGCAGAACCGACAAAAGAACATCCCTCCCCTGACTGCAAACCAGCAGTACTTGATCGCAAGGCTCGTGTGGTACCAAGATGGTTACGAGCAACCTTCAGAAGAGGATCTCAAAAGGGTGACTCAAGTAAGTAGATTACTATTTTAGCATTTTTTGAATAGATTTCAATGGATCTGTAAATAAGTTTATCTATGTAGATTCGTAGATTTACAACAATAGGAATTCTACTGTTGTTCTTGCGAAAAGTTATTCAGATTTATGAATATAATCATTTGAATTTGAAGTAATATAATCTTTTATGATTTGCTGTGTAGCTTTCATCCCGAAGCTTACAGAAGTGTGACAATGTCGGAATTATATTTAAATTTCGAAAATCATTCAATATTTTCCATTAATGATTTATTCAAAGAGTACTCTGAAGCGAATTAAAGTGTTTTGATTGTATAACAAAAACAAAAAAGAATTTCGTTTCGATTGAAAAGAACGTTCCAATAAAAGTAAAAAATAGGTGCAAAATTTTTAATCTTAAATGTTGCGTGCATTGGTTAATTGTTTTAATTCGCTGTCAAGGTCATAAAATATTAAATCAAAGAGACTTAAAATATTATTAAAAATTAACATATAACTCCGACGTTATCACACTACGATAATAAGAACCATTTAAACTAAACTTCGGAATGTAAATATTGTCTCAATTCGATTTCAATTTACTTGACTCGATTGAAATTTACTTTTCTGGTATAAAACATTCTAGTAACCGTGTAGCTCCTGGCATAGAATAGGCCACCCCTTCCTTTACCGTGGGTGTCGTAACAGGCGACTAAGGGAACTTAATGGTTGAGGGAAGGGCAGCAGCGTCCCTTTTAAAACATCACCAAAATTCCAAGCGTGGCAATTATGGCAACCTAATATGTGCTATGTTCAGCTATAGACAGTTAACGACTAATACAATACAAATAAAACATTCTACATACATAAGTTTTTCGAAAGTTTAGAAAATAGACAAGCAAGACCCATGGTACACTGTAAAGAGTTATCCTAGCTTATAGCACCCGCTCCATCAGGGTGCTAAATCGGGAATTTATATACACACCTTAAAATACTCATTCGAGAACGTACTATTTGCAGACGTGGCAACAAACGGACGAAGATGATGAAGAATCAGACATGCCGTTCCGCCAGATCACTGAGATGACCATCCTCACGGTGCAGCTAATAGTCGAGTTTGCCAAAGGACTGCCTGGGTTCTCGAAAATATCTCAACCCGATCAAATAACGTTATTAAAGGTAAGTAACGTAATAATAACTTTTTATAAATCCATGATGATAAAAAGGAGGTTCTATGGATTCTGAACGGATTTTCATGATTTTGTAATCCATATATTTTACTTATTTTTGGTACTACGCCAATGGATTTGAACACATAAAATAGTAAATAAAGTAGATAATATCCTAATATTCGTCTCTCAATGTACTAAATATCATTTTTATTCGTTTAGACATTCATTAACTAAAAATATAAAACAATTCATTAAATCAATAAACTCATTTAAATGCCTAAACGAATCCAATCCATCCAGGAACAAGAACTCTTATTTCTATCTGTATTGGATGAATTCTATAAAATCAATGTTGTAGTAAATCAAACCATATAATATACACACCCTCCTTCACTGCGAACTAGATGTAACAAAGCAGCAGTATGTGCAGTGAAGTGGCAACACCCCTTACAAATGACTAATTTTTATTCTTAGTAAACACGTAATTGCATGAACCAATTGACAAGCACTGCATGGTTGTATCTTGTAATGTTTAGTCGGTTGTTACTGTTTATAATATCATATATTTTAAGGAAATTATTCTTACAATTTATTAATTGCCAAATGATAAGTATAAAACTAAACTAGCAATGAAATTTTGAAATCTCAGTAACGAAATTAGAATATAGAAAAAAAAAACATAATTAAATTGTAGCCAAACTAGTTATAGCCATTTTATTTAACTGTTTGAAAATTGAATAAAATATTTCAAAAGGGATTTTATATTATAAAAAACTTTCCTATATAGTTTTTTCCTATTCTATCACATTTGAGATTTCATGCTGAGGTATGTAAATATACATGCACATAAATATCCCTATTTCCCAGACTCCTTCACCGTGACCTAGATATATTGATTACTGGGACAATAATAGCCTGTCCTTCTCTATCTCTTGTATACCAAATTTCAAGACGATTAATTGAGCCGTAAATGCGAAGAAGAAGAGAAACAACTCACTGTCATTTAATATTAATAATATTAGTAAGGATTCATATTACAAACAGAAGATCTTACTATATATTTTATTTTTAATAGGCTTGCTCAAGTGAAGTGATGATGTTGCGAGTGGCGCGACGGTACGACGCCGCGACAGACAGCGTACTGTTCGCCAACAACCAGGCGTACACCCGCGACAACTACCGCAAAGCCGGCATGGCCTACGTTATCGAAGACCTGTTGCATTTCTGTCGGTGCATGTACTCCATGACTATGGACAATGTGCACTATGCCTTACTCACAGCCATCGTCATCTTCTCAGGTAATATATAGTTGTTTTTAATTAGTTTGTTGATGTTATATATTTAATCTGTTTTGATGGTTATTAATTTCTCTTTTATTACTGCTTATTTTATGTGATAAAACTTCTTAAAGTACTCAATACATCAATAATACAATAACAATGGAATAAAAAAATAAAATTATGAGTCGGCTTAAAGGTATTTGATTCCAAGCTAATAAATCGTGGAATAAAAAATAATATCGTTTTAATTTAATTTCAGATCGACCTGGCCTCGAGCAGCCGCAACTAGTTGAAGAGATCCAGAGATACTACCTGAACACATTAAGGGTATACATCCTAAACCAACACAGCGCATCGCCGCGGTGCTCGGTTATCTATGGCAAGATCCTCGCGGTGCTCACGGAGCTCCGAACGCTCGGTATGCAGAACTCCAACATGTGTATCTCGCTCAAACTGAAGAACAGGAAACTGCCACCCTTCCTGGAGGAGATCTGGGACGTAGCGGACATGTCGTCGACGCAGACGCCCGTGCTGGAGTCGCCCACGGAGCTCTAGCCCTTGTGCGGCCGCCTCGCCGCCAAGCGGCCCGTCCCCGCCCCCGCCCCCGCCACCGCTCCCGCCGCACGCGGCCTGCTCTAAGCGACGAGCGGCGAGCGGCGCGCCCCCGAGGAGAGAACGCTCATAGACTGGCTAGTTTAAGTGAAGTGCTCGGACATAGAAGTCGGACGTGATGAAAGTATTTATAAGGATTGTGCAAATTTTACTACTTAAGAGGGTACGCTGCCCGATTTCGTACGTATTCGGTGACCGACTACGATGATGTGCGAGAGATTAGTGAATATATGTGTTGTTGAACGTTTGGAGAATATATATAGTGTTGATTGTTTGCACGCCCGGCGCCGGCCGAAACGACCCACACTCGTTTTAGCCGACGCTTGTCGCGGGCCCACGTTTATTTCGTTTACGACTGGATACTGAGTTGGTCACTCGGATACGACTGTATGATAAGACTACGTTCGATAAGTACACCTCCTAAATTACAGATACGTACATAATACGAGAGTTATAAAATTAAAGTAATATATGAGATGTTTCTATTGGGTGAAAAGTTGATATGTTTATTTACCAAAATTAACTATATGTTGATTAACCTTTTCGATTAATATATAATGTGATGAATCGTTCGCAAGGTAACGTTCCGCGGTTAGTTTTAACTTGGTTTGGCTGACTGCAGCACTGTGGATGCGAGGCTGAGCCGATAGTGGTGCACTAGTGGATCGAATCTCATCGTCAGTGTGGCGGTTGATGCGCACGCGCCGCTGCTGCCGGCGGACGTTACTGTCGGTGATATATACCGCAGTGTTTGTTTATATATAGTTTATGTCAGACGTGTTATCGTGTCCCGTCAATTTTAGTTCCGATTCATGTTCCATTTTCCTGTGCCCATGTCCCTCTAGTAAACGAGTAATTATAATTTATTATCGCTGTGATTACATATATAACATGTTGAATTATCTTACGTAGGCTGAGATAAGTGTGTCTTATTACGTATAAAACTACTGTCATGCGGAGCTTTCACGAGAGAAAACGATAATCTTATTGTTATTTTGAATTTATTTAATGATACACACTTTGCATTTTACACTATAACTGCAATGTAGCGTTCACTGTGTTACATTGTGTAGCAGTGTGCTATGTGTATGATTCGTTTAGATTAGGCATGCTGCAGGACCAGCTATGATCACTTACCACTTGCTGAAAGGCCAAATGTTACATGAAAGTCTGTGCAATTTATTCCATAAGCGTAAAGTAATAATAACACATTACAAATATATAGACTTTGTGTACGTGTCACATGTTCTAAATTATACATAGGTGTAAGGAGGCAGATTTGGCTAGAAAATCCCAGTATTTTTTTTTTATTTTCGAATATTAGGTATCTTTAAATACTTTATTTATTTATACGACACTGCATGCAAGTATTAAGGCAGCTGTTTATGTAGGCAGTATGTAGATATTGAATTAGAATGTCTAGGCACCCACTGAGTTGTGTTCGGCGCTGATTTTCTTCGTGTTTTAATGTAGACACGACATTCCTTGTATAATAAAACTATAAAGAGTACAAAATGGCAGCTAACTTACCTCTATGAATTCAGATTTAAAATATAAATAAAACTTACTGTATTTGGCCGAGCTTACTATGGGAACAATATTGGTGTAGTAGACACTGCTTCTGTAATGCTTACAATGCACGCTAGGTGTCACCATGCCCGGTGCAATGGCCAAATCTGTCTCCATGTTACGAACTTTAAGTAATACTTCTACACTCGAAACTGCCCATGAAAGCTATACTACAATCCATTTATATGATATGCCTTATTTCGCGTTACCTGTATCGTGTACCTACATTGTTGATGAGTGGGAAATCATAGTATATAGAACCTAAAATTAATCGATCTCAATTACCCATAAGCGTTGTTAATGCATACGTTAAGCGGTTTTCCGTTCGTCGCTGGGCATTCTTCGTTTCGGTAGCTCATTCGACGACTCCATCTGTTGTACAGTGTGCGTCTCAAAGCCTCCGGTGTTTGTTGCAAATAGAACACCAATTTATCGCGTCGCATGTTCGTGTACGCAACGTCGACACAAATTCGACGATTTCACCATCCATACATTTTACGCGTTTTAGGAGTAATTAAGTGTTTGTTCGGTGCGTGTTGAATGTGTCTTCTTTACATGCCATTAAGTGTGTTGTATATTTACATAATCGGTATGTTTGGGACTTTTGGAAATGCATTTCTTAATATACGTATAAAATTCAGCGTGAAACGATCGGGCTTGCACCGCGGACCGCGCGCTAGTCCGCTTTAATACATCTTTTCGACTTATATAATTTTATTCTAGCAGTAGGCGATTCTAAAATAGATATCGATGCACAAAACGTCACTGGAGTGTCTTAGGAGTCTCTGCTGTTATAGGGGCGTATTCATAACGAACACACTGCCATTATGAACGTATATACACGATGGATCTAGTATGCAGTATGCGTGAGATGAGATCCCGTCGAGTTGTTGCGATCCGTAGTTAGAATTGAACTATCCCGAATATTCTATGCTACGATACGATGCCTTATAACTGAGATGTGGTCGTAAACCGTGTACGGCGTTTACACGATCTTCTTTTACTTACGTCTACATCAGAGGTTTGTGACAAATATAACTGCCATTGGATAAGTAATTGTTAATACATCATTTGAACGCGTAGTTTCATATTAGCTTCATAGTTTTCGGAACCCGTCGGTGCACAGCCGGTCGTATTTGATACATATTATTCAATTTCGAAATTGTAATAGGTTTATTAAGTATGTAATAATCTCACATGAGAAACTAATAATTAATGAGATACCCTAATATAATTTGTGTCTTTAGCTGATAATGAAACATTAGTAAGATGATAAGTTTATATCGCTAATTGGGATAGTAATGTACAAGCGAGACAGCACACTTGAGCACCCGTTAAGTCAACATGTGGAAGGGAGAGGGGAAATGTAACGACAAGACTGGCCGAGGAAGTTCGATGTTCGACTATATAACAACCAGTTGTCCTTCAATGCCTTCTGAATCTACATTTATATTACTTTTACGTACGAAAGCACTAAGTATTGTAGTGACCAAACGTGGCACGTCCAGTCTATTAAAATGATATGGACTTAATTTGGGAGAGTCTACATAATATGTCCATTAACTTTGTAAATAGATACCTTTAGATTCTATTGTCATATGTTTGACATATGTACGTTTAATTTTATTCATCTAAGAAAGTACAGATGGCTGTTGTTATTTTTATATTATTTGGGTAGAAGTATATATATATATTTTTTGTAAATGACCTCTGTATTTATCTTTTGTAAACTTTGTAAGCCATAGGGACTTAGTATAGTGTACGAGCTACGAACATTGTGATTGCTAATTTCAAATGAATTTGTATTTACCGATGATTTGTTCTGCGTATATATTCTTTGTTTCGACAGATATTCTTAATAATTTTGTTACTTCAGAGTGCAATATGTACAAATATTTACATATTAAATATAAAATGTACATACAGTCAATTTTTAGTTTTAATGTGTCTATGCAATATCTTTTCATTCATTCATTGAATGTACACTAAAAGGCATAATAGATATATCACAAGTGAGTTGCAATGCAACCTTCACTCTCACTATTGTGTTTCTAATACTTAAGCGATTAATTTTATATAGGAGGACTAGGTGATTTTTGTATTTAAATTTGCTAATTTTTTGTAGCAGATTAGATTTGTTTACATTGATAAGATGAATAATGTACATTTTGAATTGATTTTAAAGTGATTTAGTTGTTATTTAGTAATGAATTTTGTTAGGTGTAACTGGGCAGCATCGCGGAGCGGCACCTGGCCGCTTCGTCGTCTAGATGCCTAGCCGCCTAGCTAGCCGATACCAGTGCATCGAGAGCAATGTGCAATGTCCGTAAATGAATGATTGACTGCATTCGCTGCAGTATTTCTGTCATGTTTCCGATACTCGCGCCAGTTACACTGCCACAAGCGTAACGTTTGGCTTCTGTGCACACGAACCGCTTTTGCGACGCATGCCAGTCGTTTTTGCAGATCGAACGATGTTCATCTTAGTGTCCATCTCACGCTAACTGCCAAATAATTTAGCGCTCTCCTGTTAATGTTTTAGAGTTCTAACTCGCTTTTATAACTGGCACGCAGATCAAAAAAACGTTCGACACAGAAGCTTAAACATTACTACACTACTAAGGCCAAGTTTTTATATTTCTGTAGTGCCACGTGGAAGGATGGAAAGGTTGACGTTACGCTCTAAGGGCCCATTCCGTGTTATTATAGCACATTATTGTATATTATTTTCGTAATTTGTTTTAGTTGACAGTACATTATTATTATTTTTTTCCTATTACTTTGCCTTAGTACTCTGTTATTTCATGATTTAACAGCAGCGGTGAAGCAAATTAGATATAGGGAACAGACATGACGATATGTTAAAATTTTAGAGAGTCAACTTTTATAAAAACTACAAAAATAAACAAAGAAAAGGTGTGTACAAAATGAGGAAATTTGTATGAAACATTGTTATGCGAATAAACTTACACCAGAAGATAAAATATATTTATGCCTTTTATTTTCCTCTCCATTTATAGCAATTACTTTTGATACATACATAATAAAAATTGCATCACGTGTTGATATTCCAAACTCAAAATTTGAGCTGTAAAGCTAAATAAGAAAGGAAATATTTCATCCTCGATAATAAACTGATTGAAAAAAGAAGAATTCATAAAATTATGCGACTTAACTATTGATAAAATAGATTTATAGAAAGTTTTAACTTTTATGAATAAGTAAGGGCGTAAGTTTACTATTTCCCTGTGGTAGACATTGTACAAAAGTCGTTTGCTTGGTTACCTCTTTTCCGTTCGTGTTTCTGCCGTGAAGCAGTTGTGTTTTTTTAATGGGTGATAATAACATGGTAACCCCGCCTGCGCTATCAGAATACGCTGGCGCACCAGTAAGGGATAATAGATGAAGCAAGTCGGGAACCGCGTGGAGATTGTTAGGGTATATTGCTAGCAATAGGTCTGTTGGATCTCATTACTAACAATACCTGTCCCCCCCCCCCTTCCCAGATTAGGTTTATTTACACTATTAAAATGTAATGCCACGCGATTGCAGACAAATAGTATCTACATAACTCCATAGTAATAGACATCAGGTACTGCCCCTGATACTGCAGGAGTTCATAAGCTACGGTAACCGCTTACCATCATAAAAGAAAAAAATGTAGATACGTATACTATTACTTGCAATCGCGTTGCGATAAGTTCCGATAGTATATTTAAAATATGTTTCAACAACAAGAAAGTATAAAATTGATAATATGCAAATATTTTATAATCTTAATATAATATAACTTAGTAAATGGTGGTGTAGAGCAAAATAACACTTGCCGTGGCAACAGGTGTAAATGAAATGAAATAAAATACAGAGACAAGTAACAAAATACCTTTTACTTTACACCATAAAAATACCTTATTTTTATACCCATGTCAAAGGTCAGATTTTTAATTGTAAGAAGTACTTTTTATAAAATGTTAACCTGCGTCTGCATTATAAATTTACGCTGGCGAGGCTGTTTTTAATAGATCGAGATGGACTATGCTAAAGGTAGAGCCCCAGAGCGGGGCCTCAGTGTAGGATGAATCTATATGAAGTCAAGGCAATTTTTTTTAATGGATGCAAATGGAATGGTACAGTCGCCTGCGTTAACGTTATGCGCTGGTACTGCATTAGTGACAGATAAGGATGGCAGTTCAATTGGCACATCGTGAAGAATTCGAGAACTATCCACGATGGTTTCCAGGTTTAACCGTGTGGATGTCGACCTAATAGAGGTATATTGTTAGCAATGGGGCTGTTAGAAGTCGTTAATAACGCATCTTTTTTTCTCTCAGTCAAGGTAGTTCGGAAATCCCAATGAATACAATAGAAATTAACTACTTGGGCGGCGTCATTTATCATCAACTGAGCCGCATGTTCGTTTGCCTCCTGTGAGTATATTATTACGTAATGTGATTTAACATCTTTATCAGTATCAGTTCCCCCACTCTATCAGGCATTCGAGGGTGATGATAAGTGAAAATGAAGTCAAAGTTAGTTGGCTAATCATAAATTTATTAGGAACCACTCATAAGGGATGCCATGAGTTGACATTAGCTAAAAATATAAATAAAAATTGTGGCAAAATTAAAAGATAAAATAATAATAAAAAAAATATGTACATACCTACCTAAGTATTTATGATTACACTTCTCCGATCAAAAGTTGTTTGGAAGAGATCGCTCTTAACAATACGGCCACCACTTGTTTTCTCAAATGTAATCTTTTCTTATAATTATTCGTATTTATAATAAATTTACTAGAGTAATCTTTTGGAGGAAACAACAAAGAGACATACTTTACTATATATAATATTCTTATACATTATATATCTATATGTTAATTAGGTACATATCTAGTAATAGTTTATTAAAATCGGTAGTTATGTAGGTACCTAATAACAAATACGCAGTACTGGGGGGAAAGGGATTGTTAATAATGGGGTCAAATAGCCCCATTACTAGCAATATATCCTGTCAGGTCGACCTCCACGTGGTTCCCCCTGGAAACCATCATGAACAATTCTTGTTTAATTCGTCACGATGGGCTAACTGGCCCGCTTCATCCTCACCTATCATCCTTCACTGGTGCCCCGCCGGTGTATACCGATAGCGCGGGTGGGATTACCGATCCATTATTACCCATTAAAAAAAATACGCAGTACTTAAGTAGGTATTATTGAATGTTTTTTTGTTCCACATTTCCTTGACAGTTCATATCATTATAAAAATTTATTTTATGCACATGTGTCGATTTATAAGTAATTATGTTCAGAAATCAAGAAAATACGCAACTTAATTACGAGGCTTGTTCGATAAAATAATTTATCTTCATTGGTGCGTGGCACTACGACCCGTGCGCACTCAATTCGTGTTCAGAAAATCTTATTGCAAACAATGTTTCCTATTACAATTTTACATGTCTTATTATTAATCGAAATAATACTGCATTGTTCATGTGAGTGATTAAGTGTTATAGACATAAACAACAGTTGAAAGTACTAAGGCAAGTTAAATAAATTTCCCCTTTTCAGATGGACAACGTGACAAAAAGTTCTTCAGGAAAGACTACAAATATTTAGAAGATACGGAAAGTTTTTATAAAATTCATACTATATCAAAGAGTTGGCAAGATGCAAGAAAGACTTGCAAGCTTGAAGGTGCTAGTTTGTTTTATCCTGTAGATGAGGCAGAATCGAACAGCGTTATTAAAATGTGGACAAGCGAACAGGCATTTGAACAAGTTTTTATTGGTATTTCTTCATTGTTAGTCAAGGGAGCATTCATAACTATTGACGGTAAGAATTAGATTATTGTTTATTTTTTCCTTCTCATCTTATAGCCATACTCTAAGATTCATAAAATAATAGTTGTCTTCTGTCTCTTTCGATTGTGTTCTAACACTCACATGGAATGGAAAGAGATAGAACACAATGCAACACTTCTCCATTGTAATAAAATAAAGGAAATTTTCCTTATGAATTTTATTAATTACATATAATTTATAATGTATATAACGCACTATGTATCTGAAGTTATGGGTATTTAACAGTTCGTATGAAAAATATGAGTATCTCTATAGATCATAGATTAACGAATTGTAAGTATATACGGTTGCATTTTCTTTTTACATTTATAGCAATTCTGAATCGATCATGTTTAACATTTTTGCATTCGATGGCATTTCACTATAAGTATAATTTTTCTTGTAATTACAATCCCTTTGTTGTTGAACACAATATTTAAAACATAATTTTTTAAAAGGGCATTGTTTTATATCTGATAGTCAGTGGCTGAAATTATGAAGATAATTCTTTTTTTCTAATTAATTAATATCTATACAAAAATATCACTGCACGTGATTGCACGAAAATATTGTAAGTTCTGCTTTATCTACATTGTTTATGTATATAGGAGTTTCAATATCGGATATATACCATAAGTGGTCAAAAGGCGAACCAAACAATGCGAATGGCAACGAAGATTGTGTGGTAATGCGACGGAACAACGGCGCTTTCAATGATTATAATTGTGCTGCCAAACAACGTTTCATTTGCAAGAAAACTTTAGCTTCCTTGGAATGGAACTCTGCTTGTAATATGCCAGATACAGGTAAAATAATTTTACATTGCAAAATATAAATAAGATGCCTTTATTTATTAGCATTCTTTTCCCATATAAGCAATAAATAGAATACTAGTGCATACAATATTGTTTAATGGCTCTTGTACGTTTGTGTTACAAAATTTATTATTACTGTCATACTATTTAGCTACATAAATAAATAATAATACAGTGTATCAAGCTTAACATTTACTCTGGATCGATTAGATAATTATTAAATTAAACAGGTGGATTAATATAAATAATATAGGGACGTAATTCTGGAAATTATAAAGTAAATCTATGATAAGTTCTATAACGTAGTTGCTTTGCAGGACATTTTGCCTTATGTAGATGACACCCTAGGTTCAGATTCTCAGTGGGACCATTTTAAGAAACAAATTAATTCTGAGTCTAGATATTTTAGTTTTATTCACAGAGAACGGTCGACTGAGTGGAAATTGATTGCGGCAACTTCTTTTCTGATATAAGCCACCTATACTTTACTTAACAGTGAACTAATTTAATACTTATTCATTATTTCAGGTTATACGTACTCGGAAACTTTCGGCAGATGTTACAAATTTCATTTGACGCCTAAAAACTGGACTGAAGCATATGCTACATGCAACGCAGAGCAATCATTCTTAGCGATAATAGAAAGTCAAGCAGAGGCAGATTATTTTGTTAAACTCACCCAAGAAGCACCGAAAGATTTAGTTCGAGGGAACTACTTAAGAGGAGCTGTGTTGTTGGGATTTCATAACGTTGACGAAGAGGGTTGGATTTCTATTAAAGGTCAATATATATATATAAATATATATATATATATATATATATATATATATATATATATATATATATATATATATATATATATATGATATATCTTTGTATATAAAGTCGATTGCTATATATCTGTCCCATTCGTGTTTCAACCATGAAGCAGTTGTGTTTGCATGGCTGTGTTTCAGTTTGAAGAGTGGGATATGGCGTGAATTTACTGGGTACAGAGGAATAACACCTGAGTCCTCAGGAATGGCAGCGCATGGGGGGTATCATGGGCGAAACAGTACACTCTGTTATGTCCATGGTACTGCTCATGTCTATAGGCGACGGTTACCACTTTCCATCAGGTGGGCCGTCAGCTTGTTTGCCATTCTAAGTTGTATAAAAAAAAAAAAAAGCACGCCCGTCCAAGTTTTTACTTCAATATGTGTGACCATATTCAGACGTAGTGCTCTGTCTGTGTTTGTGAGGAAACGTCTTCAGTAGCAATAAAGAATATACGAGTATAGTCACTGCATTTTAGTAGTAATCTGGCCAAACTGTATTATATTCCATGATCGAAACATAATAAATATTTTACTCACACATTTTTATTTTTTTGAGTTTTGGTGGGGCGTGTCATGTTATCATAGACAATCCATACCTAAGTATCACATATATAGATACCTATAGACACTGAGGACTTGAATTTATGAAATTTTGTTACTGTTTTTTTTTTCTATTTCAGGGACGGCTTTGGAAGATGTTGGCTACTCCAAATGGGGCAACCAGCAACCCGACGGGGGCGATAGCGAGAAATGTGGCTCTATGTTTTATAACGGCAAATTGAACGATTTGGGTTGTCATCACAAGTGTTTCTTCATATGTGAATGTGATAACCTTATCGATGTCACTTTTGATGAGAGATTTGCAACTTTATAGACTATTATTAAATGAAACCGACAAGTACCTAGTGATAGTATATTCTATGGGACTGATTTTTGTTTATTATTAATCTGTAAAAAATTTCAATTCATGTACATCATATTATACTATACTCTGGAGTAATGACTAAAAAATATGCTCAATCGTATGAAAGAAATTACTAAGGCTAATTACGTACAAAGATTGAATTTGTATACCAAGGCATTATAAGCATTATTTAGTTAATTATAAATAGGTGTAGTAATAAAAAAAGAAACATTTTTACCTAGGATTTTTAAAGACTTCAGCGGGGTCGACGGCCTCACTATTTGTCATCTGATCAACTCGAATATTTGTCAGATTTTTTTATTAAATGTTAATAGGTTCTTAATTGAAGGGAAATTTACAATTAAACTGGAACATAAATGTTAAACTACTTTGAAATGAATGCGTTGTCATGGTAACACAAAATAACAAAATTATTAATGACAATTAAAATTATTCAGCTTATCAGAACACTGCTTTTTATTTACTTACAACAAAAATTAAGTAAATCAACTAGATATTCCTTCAATATCCTTGTTTTGATTTTTATTTATATCTTTTATTTGGGATTTATGTTTTTTAACATATCAATCCCCTAATATCTGAAATCTAAATTCGGCAGTAGGAGCATGCATTTTGCTGTGAACAAAACTGTATAAACTTTTTGGTGTAAAAGTACAATAATAAATATATTTTATACACATTTATATATATTACATAAATATACATATTTTATCTTTTATTGATATATACAATGTAATCTGCCAGCGATTTGTTTTTTAATGTATGATAATAGAATGATAACTTCGCTTGTTCCCTCGGTATACGCAGGTGGTGCATCCGTGAGAAATGATAAATGAGGACTAATGATGATGAGATGATGAGGATGAGGAAGAATACAGATCAGACTCAAACGTTTATATATATATATATTGAGGTATAAACCCTAGATAGGTATAAACGCAGTTACTAATAGGTATCATGCATCACATACGAGGTTTGTCCGGAAAGTACGTATAAAAGTTTTTTAAAAATTTTATTTTACAATTATTCAGGTAAATCAATTTTATCCCCTTCAAAGTACTCCCCCTGTGACATAATGCACATAATGCACTTTTTTTTATCAATTTTTTAAAAAATTTTATTTTACAATTATTCGCATCCTTGAAAGACCTTTAAGAAAGGTTTCTCAGCTGCCCCGTCGTAGCTTTTTTTATCTCATTTATGTCCCCCAAATGCAAGTACCAATTTGGTTTTTGGGAACAAGAAGAAGTCCTGAAGTTGCACATTCATTATGAATAAATCACGATGCTTCTACATTACAATCTGCCAACAATAGACAAGTAAACGTTTATATATATATATTGAGGTATAAACCCTAGATAGGTATAAACGCAGTTACTAATAGGTATCATGCATTACATACAGGGTAATATTTATCAGTGAATGATAGATATCTACACGTATTATAATAGGTGACGAGGCTATCTCAATGTTATTTATTGTGTACATTTTTATAAGTGAATACAATAATTATATCAATAATTATAACTCGTAATGATAATATCAATATCATCAACAATATAAAATATACAGCACGTTTAATTTACACTGTAATCAATATTATTTGTTCATTTAGTCTTTTTTGCACCACTTAAAGAATAATACAAAACAGTATACATATATTTACACACTAGCGATTCGACCCGGCTTCGCACGAGTAGACAGAATTTTAGAAAATCAATACCATATTCTGATTATCTCAAATCAAAGAATTTATCGGAACCCCCGAAAAGGGAAAGGAAAAGGGAAGTGTCAATCTAACAAAGCTCTATTTGAAATAACATCTGACAGTTAAGTGTAACACAGTCTGACAGTGAGTGAAAATGACAAAAACCATACAGCTTAAAAAACAAGTAGATAAATATGCAAAACAGAAAAGAAGGAAATTATGTGGGAAAAAACTACAAAAAATATACCTAAAAAGTCAACTAAAAAAATTTAAAGAAGTACATACTTCTCTTCTTTAAATTGTTTTTAGTTGACTTACAAAAGAGAGGATAAAAAATCAAGAGAAGTTTAAAAAATTAAATTATACTATGACAAGGAAAATGTATAATTGCCAATTTCTAAATTTTGTGGCCAATTAATGGTGAAAAGTGACTGTTTATATATTATGTTTTTGTACATATATATTTATAATTTGTGTATGTATTTTTATTTTATTCCTATTCTATTTACCTTGTAGATGTTATATTAAATGCCCTATCGAAATTTTAAAATTTATATTTAAAGTTACAAACGCGAAAATAATAAAAAAAAACTTGCGTTTTCTTTATAACGTCCTTTATAAGCAAGTGCACAGGCGATAAGAAATTAAATTTAGAAAATACTAACGTCGTACAAAGCTTCAACAATAAAACAGAAAATTATCTATATTTGTGCCTTGCACTTCGAACCATAGGTATATATTAATAAAGAGAAATGCGTTCAGAAAATCTCATTATAAACAATGATTCCAAATAAGATTTTACATATATTGTTAATAACCGAATTAATTCTCCATTATTCAAGTGAGTTTATCTATTAACAAAAGTACAAGTAAAATAACTGGGCAAGTTAAATATATTTCGACTTTACAGGTGGACAACGCGACAAGAAGTTCTTCAGGAAAGATTACAAATATTTAGAAGATACGGAAAGTTTTTATAAAATTCACGTTATAGCAAGGAGCTGGCAAGCTGCAAGGGATACTTGCAAACTTGAAGGTGCGAGTTTGTTTTATCCTGCAGATGAGGGAGAAGCAAACACCATAACTAAAATGTGGACGAACGACCTGATATCCGTACAAATATTTATTGGTATTTCTTCATTACTTGGCAACAGGGTCTTTGTTACAATCGATGGTAAGATTATAATTTACTTTTAATTTAATTTGGCTTGCTTACTTTTAATTTTTAACTTTTTTTTTATTTAATTTCATTGTTATAATGTAAAAAAAAGGCATTAAAACAAATGTTATTTGTATACATATTTGGCTATCAATAATAATATATTACCGAATACTTGGTACTGTTTCGCTTTATATTGTTCTCTTTCTAAAGCAACTCTTTATAATTCTGTTATACGAGTAATATCTTATAATATAACTATTACACATATATTAAAAGATACTTTCGTCAATTCTGAACCGATTATGATGATTCTTTCTATATTCGATAAACAAAAGATCTTAAAATACTGATATAATAGTGATGAATTATCTACTATTTTAATTATGTTTACAAATACATTATCACACAGTGTTAAAAATCATTTTGACTTGTAACTTGTTTATGTAGGATTATCAATATCAGATGTATACCATAAGTGGTTAAAAGGTGAACCAAACAATTTGGGTGGCAATGAAAATTGTGTTGTAATAAAGCGTGATGGCAGCCTCAATGACTGTTCATGTAGTCTCCCACATAATTTCATTTGCAAAAAAACTTTAGCGTCTCTGGAGTGGAATTCTGCGTGTAACTTTCCAAATACAGGTAAATAAATTTTTATTTTTAAAATTGCTAAGCTTAGATATATTTATTTTATATACGAGTTAGATACATATATTTAGCAGCATTGACAATGTATGCCGTCGAAAATGTATTCGAGGCTAGGAACCAATGATTATTAAAGTTCACAAATTGCGTGATTTTATATATTAAGACGTAGTAGAAAATACGTATAATCCGTGTAGCCTAACTTCAGGCTGCAGCTGAAAATCAGAACTTTACTTTTAAGCAAAACTATCACTGAGCTGTAGCCTATTTGGGTCATTGCGACACACATGGCGAAACCATATTTTCGTATTTTATCTTTTGTTTTATATTTAAAAAGTGTAAATAATTTGATTGTATACTCATTTGTAAATTTACGTGTGTCATAAATGGCTCAAATAAAAAGTTTATCTATCTGTAATATTAAAAAATATTTTAAGGACTATATTTGTACTGTATTTGACTACATAAATACGTATTATTTCAAATAATCCAGGTTGCTATTAAATTATAATTGAGTATATTGCCTTCAGATCGTGACGTTTTTAATATGTCGTGTACGACATTCAGTTTTATATTATTATACAAGAAATTCTAGTATCTAATTAAGGCAACAGTTATCTTAAATCATTATCATCATATCAGCCGTCAATTGTCCACTACTGAATATAGGCTTCCCCTATGGGGAGGCTTTGCCAGTAGTGGCCACCTTTTTCAAGCGGATTGGCGGACACAGGTAGTCTTTGGTGATATTAAAAAAGGGACGGTGCTACACATCCTTCTCTTACGATACTTACAGAAGGAAGGTGTGGTGCATTCTATGCCAAGATGGCGGATTCTATAATAACTAACTTGAATTATATCTTGAATCTCAATACTCAAAATCAATTCTTACTTCTTAAAAAGGAAAACTAAAAGTTGTTTTATTTTTATAATAATAAACGATAGATTGACTAGAAATGGATGAAGCACATGCATTTGTAATTGTAAACGAAACTTTTTGTGTCAATCATACTTACTTTTATAATAGACTAATTTAATACCTTATCATTTCAGATTATACATACTCGGAAACTTTAAACAGGTGCTACAAATTTCACTTAACACCTAAAAACTGGAATGAAGCATATGCCACGTGCATCGCAGAACAATCTTTCTTGGCGGTGATAGAAAATCAAGCAGAGGCTGATTATTTTGTAAAACTCATCCGAGAAGCACCAAAACATACGGTTCAAGTGAACTATTCAAGAGGAACTGTGTTCTTGGGATTTCATAATATCGACGGAGAGTATTGGAAAACTGTTAATGGTAATGTTTTTTTTTATTTAGACAGCATATTCCAATTTGTTACTTAAAATCTGCTTAACCAATGTTAGAGTTAACTAAACTCTTCTTTTTAATCTATCTCACCCATTACACCTTCAAAACATTTTTCGAATTAGCACGTTCCTTGCCCAACAATAAAGGAATTTGTTCATATCATATTGCTTATTAGTTTATATTCTTCATCATAACTTCCGTTAGCTGTCCACTGCTGAACATAAATTTCATTAGGGGGTTTGGTCAGTAGTTACGACGCTTGACAAGCGAATTGAATATGGTGACTTTTAAGTGGGACGCTACTGCTCATTGCTTGATCATTATGTTCCTTTAGTCACCTCTTACTACACCCACGAGAAAGGAAGATGTGGTTAATTCTATGCCGAGACTAGACGATTAATTATTTTACGCCATAAGATATATTTATTTCAGCAAAAGATGTTAATGCAGAGCAGAATGGTTATTATTGCTCTTGTAAAAGGATACACAACGGTTATGATGTCTTCGAACCAACCGAACCATGCGAAATAAGAATTGAATAATCTAGTACACGAAAGTTGTAAAATATGTTCTGAAGATATTATTATTACACCACTTTTGTGTACCTAATTTACAACTAAATAACTGTCCGATTTCAAGTCAAATTTCTCTATATCCACACAAATCAGCTTTTATTCCCAACTGGAATTTAAAAATGCCATACCAAATTGTCAATTTACGATTGTGCATTTGTAGCCATCAGGAATAAATATTTACGAACTCCCTTACTCTTAAAAACATCAAACCTCTCATAAGTATTTTATCTATTTTATCTCTTTATTATGTGCAAAATTTTTAATTTGAAAGACGACGATAACACACGTCAATAACTAAAATACGTTTGTAGGTGAATATACAATGATGTACATTATTTAATAATGATATTGTTAACAATATTTGAGATTTCACCCAGGCAATAAGTGAACTCTGTAAAATTTTCAGAATCAACAGTGGGTTATATATTTATAAGCCCACTGTTAATATTGATAATCATGATATTCGCGAACTTAGGCGACCGGTTACTATTTTTCATCCAGTAGGCCGTCAGCCTATTTGCCATTAAAAAATGTTTCACATTTAATTATTGATACTGGAAACATTTTTTCACCATAAAATCACCATGGCAATAATTGAACTAGGCATCGTCTGTGTGTAAGGTTCTCGTATTTTTTTCCACATTTCATCAAGTGGACTGTCAGTTTACTTGCCGGACAGGACTCGGAATTAAACCACATGTGCTGAGCCTCTGTCTATTCACATATCAAAATATCATGGCTCGCTACATCTTACAAAATGAGAAGGGAAAGAGTGTAAATTAAAAAAAAAAGAGTCCCATATAATTGACGTCCTCACGTGATTGGACGCCTTGTTTAGAACTTGATAATAAGAAATTTGGTAACGGTTATCTCTATTTCAGGGGCGGCTTTAGAAGGAATCGGCTACTCCAAATGGGGCTACTTCTACGGAGACGATAACGAGAAATGTGGCTCTATGTTCTATAACGGTGAATTAAACAAGATGGGATGTCATCATAAGTCTTTTTTCATATGTGAATATGATAAGTTTACGAATATGACTATTGAACCAAATGAAATTGTATACTAAGCCGAAACTCAATCATTTATTAAAACTGAATAGCGTCGGCAACGCACACGTTGCAAAATCCTTAGGCTATAGTGACTGTTTACCATCAAGCGGGCTGTATGCTTGTTTGTCATTTTGTGGTATATAAAAAAGAAAGAGGGAGACTTTGTACAAAAGTCGTTTGCTTGGGTACTTCTATCACATCCGTGTTTCAACCGTGAAGCAGTTGTGTTTGCATAGCTATGTTTCGATTTAAAGGGTGAGATATGGCGTGAATTTACAGAGTACAGAAGAATAACACCTGAGCCCTCAGGAATGGCAACACTTGAAGGGTATCAAGATGAAACAGTATACTCTGTTACGCCCATAGTACTGCTCATGTCTATATGCGACAATTACCTCTTTCCATCAGGTGGGCCGTCAGCTTGTTTACCATTCTAAGTTGTATAAAGAAAAAAAGAAAAACAAGTTTAGACTTCAATGGTTCAAATAGCACGTTTTACAATATTGTACAATTTTCACTTTTTTAAATGTTGTAGGATCGCACGTACTATCCATAATCCATGTATAATGATATACACTGAACGACTATTTAAATAAAACCACAATTAATGTACATTATGTATATATTATGACATAAATGACAGATGTGTTATTATTTATATTCTATTGTTTAATTTACACAAGTTATACAATTATAAAAATAAAATTCCGACCTTACCAATTGTTTGATTGTTATAGTTATTTACAGATAATGAAATATGTATCTATCACAAATTGGAAATAATAAATTTTTCCCAATACAACAATACCAATTACCATACTTACCAACTTCGTATAATATACTATAATATTTTTTTTTTATTTGTCACTAAGTAATAGTTGTTTCCTTTTTTCCAAAGCCAAAGACAATAATACTTTATATTCCAGTCAGTGTACCATATAATTCTTAGACACGATTACTTAGTTCAAGTTCTTAGTTATTATTTTTTATTTAGCACAACCATAATCTTAGCAATTTCATATAAGTATATAGTCGCTACAATGTCATATAATTGCTTATATAACTTTAGATTATATCTACATAAATTTATTCATGATTATGTACTTAATACAATAAACATTTTACATTATGCTCTTACAATATTAGTAAAAGTGGACGGAATAAAATAATTTTATTCGGCAATAATAAAATATCAATATACAATTATAATTATTAACCGTTCTAATATAATATTATAAATGTGAAAGTGAGTATGTTTGTTACCTTTTAGCGCTTTAACACTCGAACCGCGGACCGGTCATTGTGACCTGTGTTTTAATACTTAATATCTCCGAAATTTGTTGTTATAGATAGCTAAGTTTTTGTGACTTTTCATTTACCACTTTTTACTGCATGATGCGAAAAAAATATAATTATCACTTAGTGGTTTGTATACCTTGAACTGCGAAAACAAATTTTGAAATTATTAAGTAATGAATTTAAAACACCGCTCACAATGACCGGTCCGCGGTTCGTGTGTTAATGGCTTAACAAATCTTAAACCGAATGACATTGATCAGAATAAAAAGTAACTTATGTAAGGACATAGGCTACTGTCAATCATCGTATTACATCAATGAACACATTTCAGTGACGCAAAGGAAGTCGTGGGTACAAACTAGTTTCCCGTTACATTTTAAATATATTTACTATAACTAAATAAACACGTGTAACTATACCAGGTACATATTTTAAGCGACGTACTTAAAAATAAAAAGTTAGATATTCAACTTTTTTTGACTGTAATATATTTATTTTTAATCCCTTAACAGACAATATAATTTATGTTTATCGTTTTAAATTCACTCGTCGTTGAACACAGCTTTGCCGACAAAAGGCAAATACCGGACGAATGGTCCGCCGTAAGCGAGTATGTCGCGTACAAAGCCCAGGTACGACGCCATCCAGGATATCAGCAACAAATAGAAAAACACAGTTACAAGCTGGTCCACGATGAACAAACTGAAATAAAAAAAATAAATTTCCTTCAAAAATACAGGTAAAGTTTGAAGCAAGCATGGACAAGAGGTGTGTGTGTAGTTCCCGCCTTGTAGGTCCCGGCAAAGAAGGCCCACCCTTTCCTTTTCCGTGGGTATCGTAAGAGGAGACTAAGGGCACTTATAGTGGAGGGATGGACAGCAGCGTCTCTCTTAAAACATCACTAAAGCCAAACTGCGTTTGCTAACCCGCCCGCCAAACGTGGCAACTACTGGCAAAACCCCCCTAGGGGGAGGCTATGTTTAGCAGTGGGCAGTTAACGGCTGATACAACAATAACAACATGGACAAGAAGAAGAAGACGCTAGATCATTATCCTTTTATAGTATTTTTTTTTTGCCCGCTTCATATGCATAGATTTCAGAAGTACGCAAACCAGTGAAAAAGACCAATTCTAGATGGCGTATCTATACTTATAATAAATCTGTAGAGAGGTCAATTCTGTACATGAAATATATTTCCAAAATAACTATCAGGGGTGATTAGTGATCGATACTGATGCCAAAAATGCAATCAGTAAAATTTTTGTCTGTCTGTCTGTCTGTCTGTAAAAAAACTCACTGTAAAAACCTTAAAATAATGATAGGGACAATAACGGGCCATTGTCCATTAAACAAACATTTATACACAATAGGAGCCACAGATAGCTCTCTATGTCGAGGCTATTTCGACGCCGAAGAAATGGCTGCTCACGTTATCCTGGAATGTGAGGCTGTGGCCCATCAACGTTTAGAAATCCTCGGAACGGTGAGGTCGCTCCGTGAGGCTTGTGAAGAACCCAGGAAGCTTCTGCGCTTCTGGGCGGAGCTAGGTTGACTGTACTAGCCACGACTCATACGCACAACGGCCCAAATGAGAGGCTAAGCGCGGAAAATAGTCTTTTTCACATTCACATTCTGTCTGTCTGTATGTTCGTTATAGAAACAAAAACTACTTGACGGATTTTAACGAAACTTGGTATAATTATTCTTCATACTCCTGGGCAGGTTATAGTATACTTTTCATCACGCTATAATCAATAGGAGCAGAGCAGTGAAGGGAAATGTAAAAACGGGAGAAATTACTCCATTTTTAAGCTTCCGTCGCGTGTGCCGTCTTTTTAAAATGTAAAAATGTCCACCCGTGCGACGCCGGGACGAGCCGCTAGTTAAGAATAAAATTACATTTACACTATGATTTATAAGAACATCAAACATCTCACAAACCTATTTTAGCCATTGAACTTATTCATCTCTTTCTTTTATGCTATTTCTCAATATTTTATTTTATATTCCAAGTTAGAAAAAAATAGCAAAACAATTCAATAGGATAAAATAGGTTTAGTAGTCTATTTTATTTTTTTTACTTCTGAAATCCACGTGTACAAAGTAACGGGCACAAAGCTAGTTAACCTATAAAAAATACATCGATTCTTATCCCATTTTTATATTAGTATTTAGAAGGAGTTATTATTATTAGTTTAACACTACGATACCTACCTACATACATAACTCTAAAATGTAGTCAGTGATGGCAGAACAAAAGTTGCGTACAGCATTCAGTGTCTATTAAACTGGTATTAATTAATATTCAACGACCATTGTACTCGTAAGTTCACAGCTATTAACTTTTGCTTTATGACTCTAGTCATAAATAAACAGAAATAACATAACAATTTTAATATAATATTGTTTATTTGTTTATTATCCTTTAGAGGCAGACCACAAATAACAACTCGAACAATTGTTATGAAATTTAGCACACATAAGGTAAGAGCACAAGTCAAGTCACGAAAATAACTAATTTATGTATTTTTGATGAAATAAATAAATTATTGTATAAATATAAGTAAGTTGCATAAGCAGATTAAGAGTATTCTTTCACAGACTTGCTCATAATAATAACTGTTTCTGTGGTACAACAATGATTTAGATTCTGCCACAAATAGAGGTACAAATAAGTAGATTATTTCGATTAGCAAATCTAAATATGATCCATATTTCACAAAAAAAACCATTAAAGTTTAGAATCACATCAATTCCATCCATCTACAACTCATCTCTAGGTCTGTACTCAAAAAAGGATGATATTCGTCTACGTCACTTCATTATCCTTTCCTGTGGGTGTTGTAAGAGGCGACTAAGGGAACTTAATGGTCGAGGAACGGGCCATTGCCATGCGTAATAACCTCCCAATAAGAGGAGACATATGTTCAGCAGTGGACAGTTAATAGCTGATATGATGATAATGATAATTTCTATTGGCAAATGTCTATCAAATGTTTAATTTGATAGACATTTGCCAGTTACAAATTTCATAATACTTGTTCAAACTATTAAGAATAGTTAGGTTACTTACATATTATTCTGCAGTCTCGCTTTAGGTAGATTCTCCAGTTTTTCTTTCAAACAGTATAGTTTCCCTCCAATAATGCAACTCTCTATGTACGGCCCGACCTCTATTATCGTTAGATCTAACGGGAACAGTCGGGTGTCTATATGGTTCAATGTGGGTGCTAGTGCCTTGTAGTTGTGTGTGTCGAACCACCACTCTCGAGTCGTGAAGTATTGTAGCACTTCCAGACCAACGGTTATACGGTTTTGGATGCGGACCATACTGAAAAATAAATGTACTTTCAATTTAAAAGTATATTTTATTACTAAAGAAAAAAAGAAAACGTCTATTTCTATCGTTACAAAACCAGATATTTTGATTTAAAAACCAAACTACAAAAATTTTGCCAATCAGGATTATAAATGAGACACTTCTGACAAAACAAATATAAAAAAATACAATCGAACTGCATCGAAGCCTCCTATTTTTGAAATCGGTTAAAAATGTTAAATCTAGGGTACGAATTATGAAGGCATTACATTGTTGTATTCAGAAATATTAGCGCACAAGGGATATAATGAGCTTATTGTAATGAGAATATTGTATCCATAGCTCATGCATATAGGCGACGGTTACCAGTTGGTTGTTAGCTTGTTTGCCATTATGTCATATATAAAAAAAAAACAAAAGACTTTAAGACTTACTTCATTACCACACGAATCATATTTTTATAAAAGTAAATGAACTAGTAAATGATACTTATATATTTTATTTTCATTTATTACATTGCTAAAGCCATCATATCAGCCATTATCTGTCCATTGCTGAACATAGGCCTCCCCAAATTAAAAGGATTTTGTCAGTGGTTGCCACGCTTGAAAATTGCAGTTAGGCTTTTAGCGATGTTTTAAAAGGGACGCAGCTTTTTACTGCTGTTTACTTTTTTGTAATGTACACTAAGATAAGTAATCTTGTGGCAAATAAAATTGATTACTAAGTGAAGTAACAAGCTGACGAATTACTTACTGTAATTATAATTTGAGAATCGTAATCACAGGATATACCTACATTGCTGTCCATGACACCCTCATACGACGCCATTTTGAAAACTACTAGCAATATATAAACGACATAACACTAACTATAAAAAGAAGGAAAATAGCTTACAATCTCTTTTGCCTAAATATGAACATGAGGAAGTCTATGAAGTAGGCTGGCACAATATGGTAGAAGAACACGCAGAGATTGTGTATGAACTTGTTACCCCTCAGGTTCCCGTTGGGGTACCACAGCGGTGCTTCGAAGGGGTACTTCCGAACGGTTGCCCTGCCAATATCCAGGATTTCTTTCCATGTCGTATCCCTGTCATCTCCACTAGTTAAATTGTAAACCGGAATCTCCGGCGGTCTGAAAAATAAGTATAATAATATTTTTAATATAATAAAAATAAGTAATATTTTAACAGAAAAAAAATTAATTGCTTTGCATAAAATTTTAAGAGGCACATACCTACTAACTTGATAGCTAAATGGACCGTATTAATATGGGTAAGTCAAAATGTTATGTTATTTGTTATACTCATGATTCTGTATGGCTAACAATTTCGTTTTTACAATATATAATTTAATTATTAATTATATTTAAAAGTTTTATTGGTACAATCGGAGACTAAGCATAATATGAAGTACCTCTGATAACTCAATTAAAAAGCGCTTGATTGGGATCAGGAGTGTCAAAATTGAAACCAAACCTAAATGTTTGAATTTTTAATTTTATGTTTGGATCATTCAAACTTATTCTTCTTCTACTTTGTGACTTATAGATTACGTAAAATCGTCATCCGGTAAGTTATTTCAAAGGCTTTCGTGTATAACGAATCACCGGCTAACAAAATTGCTGCTGTATAGATGGAGCAAACATTATATAACTATCCCAATTGTGCTTCTATCATCAAACATCTTACATGGTTATGTTTCGATTTGAAAGATGGAATATGGCAGTAACATTACAAAATACGAAGACATAACACAATAATCCCCAGGAATAGCAATGTATGACAGGTAGCATGGGCAATAAAGTCTATACTGTGATGTTCATGTCTAATCATGTCTATAGACACATTACCTACTTTTCATCGGTGGCCATCCTGTTGACCATTACAAGAAATAAAAAAAAAAATTATTACCTTTCAGTCATCGTTCCAATTTTGAATGCGATAACAATAATTGCATTAATAGCAATGTCTACAGGTATGACCTCCGCGTGACAATGCCCGTAACAATGCATGGATCTGATGACGCCTTTCCCGGCACCCACCATCAAGCCGACTGGTCCATTCAGGTTGTCTACCCAACCCGGTATAGGATCCTTATACGATGGTGTCACTGGAATTTACGATATTTACATTATCATTGATATTTTGCTTAATCATCATCATCATCATCAACATTATCATCAACATTATCATATCACCCGTAAACCATACACTGCTGAGCATAGACCTCCCCTTACTGGAGGGTTTTGTCAATAGTTGCCACGCTTGACAGGCAGGTTGGCGACCGCAGTTAGGCTTTTAGTGATGTTTTAAGAGGGACGCTGCTGCCCATCCCTTTTCTATTAAATTTCTTTAGTCGCCAGTTACAATACCCACGGGAAAGGAAAGGAGTGGCCTATTCTATTCCGAGAGTACACATAAACCGTTCGTGCTTTAAAAGTATGAACGGTTTAAGCCATTCTGGTATCATTTGGAAGGAAGTTCCAAAGTCTAGTAGCTTGCACTGTGGATTTTGTATAGGAATGAAAATTGTGGATTGGTTATTACAGTCTATAATTCTTTAAACAATGCACATGGCAATCGGGGATTCTATAAAAAAATCTCTTTTTGATCCGTTACAGATAAAAGATATTTTATTTATTAAACTTACCAATACTCGGCCGTATGACGGCGGCAGGAAGCTGAGGGTAGCTATCTTTAACCAATGCCTCAGCGAGCCGCTTGGAGTATGTATAGGAGTTCGGATGTTTCTTGTACAGAGATGGGGTCAGTATGTCCATTTGGTGGTCAGTCATCCAATTAGTAATGCGAAGTATCTCCTCAGGATCTACTGGAGGACTATGTACCTAGAAAAATATTTTTCTTTATATATTGAGCAATATTTAACGGAGAGATAGTTTCCATAAAATGTTAATTTATATGTATCAACATAAGAATTCTAATGGTAATAGAAAGTCTGAGATGAGTCTATATAACAATTCACTATTTTTTATACATAAATAATTATTTTTTTATATAGGTAATTTAAAAAAATATATTATTTATATATAAAGAGAAAAGAGCTCATGTCCTACTATCGCCATCAGCAAAAGCAATTAGAAAACCTCGCCTCGCTCATCAAGGAAGAGATTAAAGCCAGAGACCCAAGGCTAGTTGGCCCCGGAATTGAAGCCGGGGAAAGGGTTCCGCCCCAAAGCCTCCACCTTACTCCCGCAACAGGTGTACAGATGACCTTGGTTAATTAAGGAAGATAAAACAGTGTGTTAACCTGCTAATACGCCAAGGCGTCAACAATATCTAGTAGGTAGTCCCAATTAAGTAATTATTCAAGTCACAATAATTCTCATTGTTCGTAGCTTTAGAAAAACGTGATTCCTTCAAAAAACATGTTAATTGTTTTCTATTTCACAAGAATATGTATCTATTGTCGCTAATTCAAAAGAAGTAGGTTAGTATTGTTTTTATTCCTACACTAGTTTAACCAGTGACTTCGTTCGCATGACTGGGATATATTAATTAGCCCGGATATGAATTAGTCGATGTTATTCCCCATTTCAAAAAGTTTATCAAATAAGTAAGTATATCAAATTCCATGACGATAGCTAGAGCCATTAAAACGCGGTGACAAATTAATATTTAAGGTGACGTAAATCGAATGACAATATGGAATCCATAGCTTTATGCCCGCTACTTTGTAAACGTAGATTTCAAAACTCAAAAACCAATTAAATTGATCCCATTTAGATGACGTATCAAGATAAAATATACACAAGTTTTTAAGTTAGACCTATAAGTATTCCTAAAGGTTAAACTGTGCAAACCGCATTTAATTTGGTGCAGTAGTTTTTACGTGATACCGGAACAAACATATACACATACAGACAAAATTACTGTCTTATTAGGACATTTATATTATTGTTTCTTAAATACCTTCTATCATCGTGTAATTACAATTTTATTACATTAGTAAGAAAAGATAAGCGACTGTTACAACTTTACATCAAGTTGGCTGCAGCTTGTTTGCCATTCTAAATTGTATAAAAAAATTTGTAAATTTATATTAAAAAAAACTTTATTTATAAAAATTAAAACCTTTTATAATCGCTCTTTAACTATTGGAATGTGTTGTCACTTTGCTCTAAATTGATAAATTTGTGCAAAAGAACAAAACAAAATACTTCAGTAACTAAAGTAGATTTACAAAAGGTTTCACCTTTTTTATAAATAAGGGGGACACTGTTCAACTTACTTTCTCTGCGAGTCGCTGATAGTCGGGATAACAGAATGCTGTGGAGAGATGTACAAAGGCGTCAAGGTTCTTTATATTCTTAGCCACGTCGAGGACCCGAAGTGTACCCTTCGTGTTCATCTCCAATCCCTCTTTAAGAGGCGCTTCCAGGCGCAAGCTCGCTGCGAAGTGAAATATAACAGATACCTGTAACAACATTTAATTTATATACTAACTGTTTCCCCCGGTTATTCTTGCGTAAATCAGTTTATAAAGTGTCCTGTGTTTTAAGTTACATTCTAACTTACTCATGCACCAAATTTCATTCATATCTACAGTCGTTTATTAAATAAGTAACATAACACCCAAAAATCTTTTCACAACAACAAGATTAGTAAGATATGTACGCACTTACTTATTATTCACCTACTTATTATGATAGGTATTTAATTTTAAAGATGTAATTATAAATATTTATTGACTAAACTTGATTGATAGATTGTCTTACTCAAATGCCATGATAATAAGGAAAAAGTACATATTTACAAGTACATGTTTACAAGTATTTACCTACATAGAATTAATGATTATATAGAAGATAAGATGACACTGATTCTACATATATAGATTTATTTTAAAACAATAGAATTAATACCTAATACTTCCTTTCCCATGGGTGTCGTAAAAGGCGACTAAAGGAAATTAATTATCGAGGGATGGCCAGCAGCGTCCCTTTTAAAATATCACCAAAGTCTAACTGCGATTGTCAAACGGTGGCCACTACTGGCAAAACTCCCATTATGGAGGGGACCTATGTTCAGCAGCTGACAGTTAATAGCTGACATGATGATGATTATGAGTTGGTAATTTGCTTCGTATCAAGCAGATCAGACAAAGCCGTTCCAAAAGACTTCTTGGGATATAACATCTCCTCAATGGGGAATGGGATTTAGATAATGGAGGATTTTTTTTAGCAACTTAGAGGCGAGGAGAGAGGAAAGTGGTACAGTCTCCAAACATGAGATGATGATGATATATCCATGGACATCAGGTCGTTTTGCTTCACCCCCCATGTCAATCGACCCCTGTACCCTGAAAACCACCGTAATTAACACAGCTTCTTGGAAAATCATCTTGATGGTGCCCAAGCAATTGATCTTTTTTCATCCTCTCATCTAATAATCATTTTCACCCATATAATCTCTTAATAATTAATTTCTAAAATAAATATTAACTTGTGTACCTAATATAGTAATACGAACTTATATTCACCTCATTATACAATTCGTTCAACATTTTCTTCTCTATTCCGAGATTGTCGTAAAGGATATCTCCGCTAACTGGTATCAGCTTCTTCATGACATGAGGTTTCTCGTCTCTTATTCTAGAGAATAACTGAAATTAAAAAAACATACATGCCGAGGTTTTCCATAGAGACTACAATATGGGGTTCTTGAAAAAGGATGTATTAAAGTTTCTTCAGGGTTTAATGTTGCAGGCGTCCATAGGCTACAGTGGTGTCCATAATTACCATCAGACGAGCTGTATGTTTGTTTGTGGCATAAAATTGTAATCATATATAAATTGAAATATTATCTTCGTGGTATAAAAATACTTACCTATAAATGTTAAAATTTAATATTTTAACATTTTCATATTATATTAATAATATGAAAATGTTAAAATATTAAATTTAGTACATGAATATTTTTTTTATAATAATATTTTCGACGTTGTTTTGCTTTTACTGCCACCTACTGGGCCCATTTTTTATTATCGGAATAAAAACTAATCTCTTTATTCAACAAGCACAATGAAATACATTTAGAAAGTTTCATTAAAATCAGTTAAGCGGTTCTGAGGATTAGCGTAAATCAAATCGTGGAATTTCTATACGTTTACATTAGGATTAAGGAATCTGAGAGACGCCATTATTAAAAAACCCCATACGGTAATCTCTAGGAAAAACCTCGGCAATCTTATCAGACAGATCCTGAGCATTCATAGGAGAAAACTTTAGCCCCTCTAAAACAGCACTGACTGCAACTATTTAGGTTTTAGCAAATGAAACCGAATTCCCTCTCGATGACAAATTGAGTTTCTTCTCTTTTGAAAGTCTCTACTTAAGAATTTGTTAGAATACAAAACATTAACAAACAAGTAAATAAAAACATCATGTGTTACTCCAATAATTTTGAGGTGTATCATTAATAAGCGATCAAATCAGTGCAATGCACAGTGAATTACATTGGCCACTGGTATAAATTGCAAAATGTCCTCGTTACTCACTGGCAATTTCCACATGTCTTCGATGCGTGACTCCGGTGATTTCCCGCGCTTGTGGCGGATGAGTGCGTATATGCAGCTGATATCTGGAACGCTGTATAGGAGCTTCTCAATCAGCACTTTCCCCATCAAACCTGAGGCGCCAGTGACAAGAACCTTGCGGCCTCGGTACCATTCGTTTACTTCAGAAGTCATCTGAGTAAAAAAGAAAAAAAAAACAATAAAAATCTTTTATTTCACATCGAAAAGCAGCTCCAGGCTACAAGATCGAATCGAAATATTTAATATCCATCCAAGGAAGTGATTCCAAGGGTTTTTTTTTATTTTTTTCGACGCTGCTTATGATTTTACCCTGTATGCATGTTAATGTAATTTTTAAAAATATGTATTATATTTCCATATTACGGAACATGTAATAATGAAATATACCTAAATAATAATGAAAACAAAAAAATTGTCAAAACATATTAGTAATTTTTATATTCTGCCTGCAATAACTGCAAATAAAAAAAATCATGTTTCAACTATATTTCTTAGACTAATTCCACCAAAATTTATCTTTAAACTAGATTTATTTTTATTTACCATATTAATGTTAAACTAGAGCATCAATTAGTCTCTTATCTAGTAACAAGAAGTATATAAGTGTATATGAAATAGGCTTCACATTTTTAATATATTTTAAAAGGTTAAATGGATTTTATTCACACCTTAAACAAAACAGTGATAAATGTTCAAGTGCATCCAATATCTTGCGTAGCTCATAAAAAGATAATTAATTGATTGATATTGTAATAATTCTAAGCCCTTTTACAAACGTAGTTTTACTCGTACATATGTCTTATGCAAGTGCAGTGAGAAAACACGACGAGGATGTAATCTTGCGCACAATCTTCACTGCAGTTATGTGGTCAGAGGTGTGGTAAATAGTTGTGTTAAGATGCAAGTACAGTTAGCATCAAAAGTCAATACTCGTGAACACATCCTGAATTGCCAAATCGCTGCATAAATTAAGCTAATTTTGACTTTATACGATATAAAGATGTTCATAGACTATGGTAACCGTCCACGATCAAATGGACCACATGCCTGTTTGTCACCTCAGTATTACACGATTTTTTTTCCGACGTTAATCTAATTGAGTGACCACCGCATGCAATACCGTTTAGGGGTTTCAAAAATGTAGATCCATAAATAAACTTTGGTGTTATAAATTAAATATATACAGCACCTCGCGATGGAATGTGATAGAAATGGAAGTGAGAAAGGGAATACTTAAAAACATTTAACATTAATAAATTTAAAGTGAGTATTGTTCAAAATCTGTTATAACTGAAAATGCCTTATGTTAAGTGAATTAGGTAGTAAGTAGATTTGTATAAGATATAATGGAATTAACATGTCAAAAGACAATAATGTCAAATTAAATAAAGATTAGAAAAAAATTTTGTGCTGACTGTATTTACCTAGTAGGTATACTGCATTCACACAGGTAAATACAATTTAACGAGAAACAATAATTAAACTTTTATAATAACATCAATTTAAAGTTTCTAAGATATTGCAAACGTGTATAATTTGTAGTATATGACAGTTTTACTATTAAACAGACGCGTTGCTACTTTTGTACTCGGCAGCAGAAATGTTCTTTGATTATAAAAAATCCTTATTATGTTTAAACTTAACTACGCTTGCTAGATTTGTCACTTGATATTTTAGAGTATGTTTCAAAAGAAATATAAATATTTATAAGTATTTATTTTATAAAGAGTTGGTAGCAATCAAATGAAGGGTCCGCAACCGCAGGCTATAAACACTTGCAAAACCAAAGTCATCACTCGTGCGGATTTGCGCGTTGCCGACCCTTGAGTCACATTCAGTACCTACCAGCAAGTAGTAATTTCTTCACCAACATAATATATGACCTGTCAAACCGGAATACAGCATGCAAACAATCTACTTGAAGGTAGAATTAATAGTTAAGATAGTGGTACCTAAACTAACGACTACGTAAAGTAACAGGATTAAAAGGTGAGATGGTAACACCTAAGCTAGTAGCTACATAAAGTGCAGAACTAACTCCCTTATTAATAAACCTTAAACATCTAATAAACCTACTTTAACTAAGGCGGTAAATAGTTATCATAAATGACTAACTTACTTTCATATTTATAATATTAATATCAATGAACGACGTTACTTCCATTTTTGGCGGTTGTAATTCAATCTGTACTATACAAACGTTCGCATTAATCTAGATGGCTGTATGGTATGTGCTGAGTTTTTATTTATTTATACAGGGCTAGAATCACATGCGCTGCCAGAATCATGGTGAACCACCCTTTCTAATATGCAAGGTTAAATAAACTTCGAATTACTTTGAATGACAAGTAAACTTTCGGCCATCTGATGGAAATGGTATATTCAGTCAGTAGATATATCTCAGCCAATTAAAAAATACAAGCAGAAATAATTGATTTAATTTTTAATTGCTATAGTTTGTCACGACTTCATAATATTTTTTTTGTTATTATTATATCAGCTGTTAACTGACTAACTGCTAAACAAAAGCCTTCCCCATGAGGGACATTTTGCCAATACTTGCCAAGCTTCAAGGCCAGGTGGTAATTAGATTAATTAATCAGTTAAAAATATCGAATTTAAATTTAACAAAACTAGTACAAAATCAACTTGTAAAAAACTTGTAAGGAGAGTTATTTTGCTACTTCTTCATTTCGACCAAAGTGTCACCAGGTCTTAAATAAATAACGCTGTCTCTTTTTATGTTTTGGATTTTTCTTCCGTTTTTTTGGTGTGCGTAAAAAAAGGTATGTAATTAAACGATTACAAATCTTACCTTAGAGCCCTATGAATCCGACCGCACCGTTGAATGCTTGATTAGTTATATTATTCCCAAGAAAACTTATTTTTCAAATAGTCACTCCGACCTATAAAAAATATGTTTAGTATTTAATTACGTTTATTTAGATCTCACCAAGAATAGAAAAGTGGAAGGAAACTCTTGTAGAGTCTAACATGTAACATGATTTAAAGAATTAAATTTTGAATATTTGCTAGAGCTACTTTTTAGAGAGAAGTACGTTCTTGTACATTATTTCTCTATTAATATGTTGCTTTTCTCTGTGTGCAATAAAGAAATTAAATTATTTAAAGAAAAACAGCTTTCATTTCTTTAATTTTGAAATGACTACGCAGACCACAGATATTTTCTCCATAGACAAAATTTGTGTAAGCCGACAAAACTTTTGCATAGCGCGTGTATGTTGTAACTTGTATTTTTTTGTTATGACCAGACTAAAACATTACACTGTCTTTTGTCAGACTTCTGACTGGGAAGATGAAGCAAACATAAAAGAGTTCATCTGCATTGTTTACACACTATTTATATTCTATTGTATTGTATTGATGACAAGCATAATACAATAGTAAAAATATTTTGATGAAAAAGCTGTAAACAAAGTCACTGCAACGGTTTCTCTTCCGTTGTGTTTGATGTTACGTGTGAGCGAGGCAATGAGTACGCTTACGCAAAACCACCTGTACTAAGTGGATATGAACACTACGACTGGAGTTATTAGCTATTCGTGAATGCAATCTTAGTAAATATTTACGAGTATTAACAATTTGCATGTTGACTAATATTAATTGCGTAGTTATAAGACAAAGCCAAATCAATGTTTTTACTTCATTATATATTAAATTAATAAAGGTTCAACTAATAAACTGTATTTTTGCACGTATTTTGAAAAATCTACTGGACAGACAATTTTCTTAAGATACTTTTTAAAGATAAAAACAAGTGACGAAATATACTGCTGAACATAAGCCCCCTTGGAGGCTTTACCAGTAGTTGCCACGTTTGGCAGGCAGATTAGGAACCGCAGTTAGGCTTTGGAAATGTTCTAAGAGGAACGCTACTGCCATCCCTCGCCCTCCCATAGTCGCTTCTTCTTTAATTTTAATTGATTTTCAAACAATATTAATTTAGAGACTACAGTGACTAACTCAATAAGAAAATAAATGAAACAAAAATCCGCCGTCCATCAATTTTACACAACATTATTTTACCTCTATGACCTTCATATAATACTACTCTTTAATAAAGACATCGTCCACATGAACGGGATACACTGTAACTGTTGACCGTGATAAAAAGTAACCAATGTCCTTCTCTATCTTAAATGCTACGTATATACCAAATTTCATAATAATCCATTGAGCTGTTTATGCTTTAGCATCAGGAGGCAACAAACAAATTTTCATATTTATAATATTAGGAAGAATTTATTTTTTCATGTACTGCCATTTAATATAGTTTTTATACAACATGTAGTTAAATATTTTATTCTACAAAAAGAGCAATTTTAGTTTTTAATAAAATTATCACAGACGTAAACCCATAATAAATCTTTTTGCTAAAAAAAAGATGTCAAATAAAGAATACGTAACATAACACATAAAAATAATAATAAAATATAATTTGAAAACATCCTTCTTTTGAAGAAAATAAAAACAAAAATTTTGCGAGTGAAAGAAAATACATCGTTACGAAGTTTGAATAAAACATATTATTAAACAACATTAACTTAATATTTTACACAAATACTTATTGATTAAAAGCAAAAACATTTATTTCTTAAAAAGTGAAAACTGGCTCACCGTACCGTAGTATCCATTTACAGTGAAGTGCCGGTAACGCGGCCGGTTCACCGCTGCGCGTGCGCAACCCAACTGACTGTCTGTATTGTATAATATGTACTCGACAGTGCGGCGCATGGATGAGAATGCCCGCAAACTTTGTCGATAAAATTCATACTTTTTCTCTTTTGCGCAAAGAAAGTAAATATTACGTGAAGTGATGTTCGGTAATTCTTCAAATAAGAAGCGCGAAATCGTGTCTTGAAAATATTACGTATAAAACACTTTGTTAATGTGCCACTTTGTTAATGGGTAAACTGTTTTGGGGTTGTCCTTGGTGCCAAAATGGAATATTTTTCATTTCATTGTCTGTTTACTTATTTCTAAATGACAATATCATAATTCTTAACAATAACTTTGACAAATACGAATAGAGATAGTTCTATTAGTACAGAACACTTATTTCACCGGTCATTGATTGTTCAGACTATATTGCCGGACCCTTGGCATTTCAGCTTGATGGTCAAAAGGCCAAAAGGATCGGTCGTGCTTGTTCGATTCAAACTCTATGCTTAAATTAATTAGCTTTTACCCGCGACTCCGTCTGCGTAACTAGAATAAAAAGTAGCCTATATTTTTTCACCATCCCACATAGTACGCGTATACCAAATTTCATAATGATTAGTTAAGCCATTAAGACGGAGATAACAAACAAACAATTTATGTTACTTTCAAGCTTTTACTATTAGTAAGAATTATATAGTTACCAAATGAAGAAGAATAAATAATATTACCTCGGTATTTCAACTACATGTCAAGACGGCTGACTGCGTGACTGCATGTGTGCGAGCTACTACTGTTATGGTTGACGAGCCTAACATTAGATTTATCCAAATATCGCCAAGCCTGTCCAAGTCCAACATAGAAGGAGGGCGAGTGCTACTATTGGAAACAATTTTAATAGAAGGATACAAAACTTGTGCTATTGTCAGATCAGACAGGTATATGACCTCTGAAACAGACAAATGCAGATACCACTACAAGGTTCGAACGTTATAATAATTACAACTAACGTGGTTTTTATGTATAAGGCAACAGACCTTAAAAGTCTCGTGAAAAAGAGACAAACTTTTCATAAAAATTAAACCGAAATATAGTGCGCTTGGCATTAGAAAAAAGGAATTTTTATTAAAAATTAGATATTTACAAATTCAGCGTATTTTATTTCTTAATTGAACGCAATCAATATTAAATAAAATATCACTTAATCACAATTACATTATCTTTATGCAAATAAAATTTATGTCATACTTATAATTATTATTTATATTAGGATTAAATGGAATAGAATTTAGATGGAATATACTAAAGAAATAACAATTTAATCAAATATAAAAAAAAATTCATTAAGTATTACGTCTACATTTTAAAGAAATATCGACCTTACATGTGCCCCATCTCTATTCGATAATTGTTGTTAGGTTAGTTAGGTATATAGCTGAGAAACATGTTTCAAGTCAATTCTAATCCTTTCCCGCTTTTCCTTTTCCAGATTATATATACTATTGTCATAAGAATAAAATACTACTAGTGCTGATGTTCAATGCCAGCTGTTTCCGTCATCATGTTTATATGTATTTTGTAATTTTAATAAAAAAAATAATCATCATAATTTTGTGAAATTTTAAAATAAAACTAATTCATTAAAACAAATTTAATGAAATTAGTATGTAGAATAATATTTGTCGTGAGTCGTAATTAATATTCAATATTTTTGCAAGTGAAACAAAAAAACTACACATATAATCTGATCACTATAAGAATCGTTTGCCAAGACCTGTTTTAGCTTTTTTTTTTATTATGTTTCTGTTTATTCCTTAGAATAAGAAAACAAGAAAAAGAAATTAATTATTACGATAAAGTAGTATGTACCTATTATTTTATCGCTACATAGACATGTTACTGGCTACTCTCATGACGAATGGGATTCAGCAGTGTAGAAAATGGGTAAATTTAATTTTATTTCCAAAATTAAAGTAATTTATTTTACTAGCTTACATAAGCGTCAAATAACTAAAATTTATTAATTAAAAAAATACACAATGTAAAATATACATGACATTTATAAGAAACTTTAGTTGATGTCAATGCATCGAATAATCGAGGAACTAGCGACACTAAGATGTTTTTTATTTATGGATGAAAATGGAAAGGCAACTCCGCCAACGCTATTGGTATACTCTGACGGGGCACCAGTGAGAGTTGACAGGTGAAGATAAAAACAGGTTAATTAGCCCATCATGATGAATTTCAAAAAAAATTATCACGATAGTTTCCAGGGGGAACCGCGTGGAGGTCGACCCGATAGGGTATATTGTAATAGCAATGGAATAATAAAACTCCAAGATGGTTTCTAGGAGGACCGCGTGGATATCCTTATATACTTGATATATGAATATATCAAGTATTGCTTTATTTTTCCTCTATTCGATAATGCACCGCCTACGTATTTCTCAGTATGCTCAATGGTTGACTGGTAGAGAACACCGTCGGGTGTTAAGTCCGCCAAATGTACATAGAATTTTACTGTGCATTAAAGTTAAAAAATTAAAAAAATAAATATCCTTCTAAAATCGTAAACCATGGTTTTAGAATGTAATGAAGTCGTCACGATGGTCCAACTGATCTGCTTTCATTGTTATATTTGATTATTAGTAATGCCACAGATAATATAATACTATTGGTAATGCGGACTGCCAGTCTCATTGCTGGCAATATACCCTGTTACGTCGATCTCCACGTGGTCCCCCCTGGTAACCACCGTGCTGAATTTCAGGTGTATTCATCACAGTGGGGTAACTGACTTGCCTTTTTATTCTCACCTATCGTCCCTCACTGGTGCCCCGCCAGCGTATACCGTTACCGCAGAATGGTAGCCCCACCATTCAACTATGATCCATAAAAAAAGTTCTCCATCAACGTATACCGATAGCATAGGCAGCGTTACTATTACCACATCATTCGGTAATAAAAACTCTCCGTTATTTCTTTTTCAAACTTTGAATGGGCGTAGATCTGTTACAAATACAAATATATAGAAATAGATTTGAAGACATAAAAAAAATATATGCGAATAGAGCCATCTTCATGTTTTGAACAAAATTATTGAGTGATAACTAAGACGTAATCACCGATATTAAAACATGTTTGCTCAAAACGATTACTAAGCTACATGTTAATAAAGTGCTCCGTTAGATGGCGTTAACAGAACAGAAATCCAAATTTTATGTTTCCTATCATCATGATATCAGTCACAATATCAGTTCTTCCCTGTTCATTGCTTAAGATAGACTGTTACGGAATAATTTTCTGTTACCTATAAGCTCCGTAAAGTAACTGCAAATTATTTGACGTTGCCACTCCAAATTGAGCAGAAAGCTATCATCATCATCTTCCTACCCTTATCCCAATTATTATTTGGGGTCGGCGTAATGTGTTTATCCATATTACAAAAAGATTTGGCTTTTAGTTTTACAACCGGTCGCCTGCCTGATGTCAACCCTCTTTGGGAAAGCAGAAAGCTATGCTATTTAATTTAAATAAATGAAAATGGAATGGTATAAGCTGCTTATATATTGGTGAAGAATGATAAGTAGAGATGAACTTAGCTAATTTTTTTTATAATAATAATAATTTTTATTTTCATACTAGGTACAATTTGGCCCATTTTGTTAGCAACAATTTCCTTAAAAACTGTGTTAAAAAAAAACAAGAAAGTGAACATCCAACTAAAACACTCAAATGTGACCCAGCCGACTAGATCAGCATCTGAATGAAATGCCTAATTATAGGCGAGTTATATTTCTTGCCTATTACTTTCAGAATGCTATTGGTGCTAACCCTGTGTAACATGATGCAGTTCTCTTTCTCCTTATAACGTAGTAATCATCTACGCGAGATTGAGCAAGCATGCTAGAGGCGCTACAAAAGCGAGGTAGCCTCAACAGCATTTTGAAACTATTATTATACTGGATTCGTTGGGTATTGAGCGAGGCCTGTGTGCAGGTGACCCACAGGCTGCTTGTGTATAATGCCAAACATGGCAGTATACTTTAAAGAGTGTCATTTTTACTTCCTTACTACAACGAGCAAACCTGTGGGCCAATATGTTATACCTAACAGCCAATGTACTCTCCCTTTTCACATCAATTTGATCTTTAAGGTCATCAGTAACATAATGCCTCAGGTATTTAAATTTATGCACGCTTTTTATATTAGCTACATATAATTTGGTATTTGATTATAATATGATAATGTTATGGAGACCTCGCTCGCGTTATCAGTATACACCGACAGGGCATCAATGAGGAATGATTGGCGAAGAAAAAGCAGACCTTACCTACCTTAGGCCCACCGTGACGAATTCACAAAAACGAATCGTGATAATTTCCAGGAGGAACCGCGTAGAGATCAACCTGACAGCAATGAGGATGTTAATCTATCGTACTAACAATCCTTCTTCCTCAACTTAGCTCGATTGATCTATCAGAATTGACACATTTATCAGGAATTAACCATGATAGGTACTAGGACCTAGTATAGTATGACATTATATTATGCTAGAGAGGACCAAGTTGCAATCGACCTGATAGGGCATGTTATATTACCGCCTATACATGATAGGAGACTATATAAAATAAAAATTATTTATTTATAGCAGTTACATACCATACCAGCCATTAATTGTCCATTCCAGAACATAGACCTCCCCTTATTGGGGTTTTGCCAGTAGTTGCCACGCTTTGCATGCGGCTTGGCGCAGTTAGACCTTGGTGATGTTTTAAGAGGGGCACTGCTGTCCATCTTTTGACCATTACGTTCCTTTACGCCGCCTCTTACGGCACGCACGGGAAAGGAAAGGGTTGTCTATTCTATGCCGGGACCACTCGACTAATTCTATAGCGCATATTTTTTTAATTACGGGCCTACGACTTCGACTTCACCATGTAAGTTATTCCTTCCATCATTTGCCTCCCCTCAGAAGGCTACGTGTGCTTATATAGAAACACATAATTTAATCTTATGTGTTTCTATATAAAAAGTGATCTAAACACAAATTTAAGCCGAAGTATCAAAGTGGCGCAGTGACAATGAACTACGTATCTCAAACATAAATCATTGGAAAAAAGTTATCGAACCTCGTAATTCTATTTATCTATAATCGGTTCCCTCCCCTTTTCTACAATAAAAAAAAACATAAAACAACCCTAGAACCTAATTCTCAACTAAATATTTAATTATATTGTGGAATTAATTTAGTAAAACTAATTTCATTCGGTTTCAATTTCGTAATATAATTTAAGTTCATGTAATAAATTTAGAAAGTTAGTTCTCTTTTATGAAATCTACGACATCACTGAAATTATTTGATCACATTTAAGTAATAAAAATAGAAACAAATGGGAGAAGGCCAGAAAAATAATGTTTCTATTAGACTTTATAGCACATATATAATTTAGGGCCTCAATTTGACAAGCAAATAACATACAGTTGCGGCATCTATTTACATCCATATCTGCGTAAAATACTATGAATGGCATATACGTTACAACACAAAAACAAAATAAAGAAGGTAACAAATCAATGAAATAATTATCATTTGATCATTACGCACATAGGTACAATGTTTCGTCAATATCAATCTCAAGTCACAAGCATGACAAGGCTTCGTAAAGAGAAAGTCGGCCGCCTACAATGCGTACAGCTTCTTCGTATTCCATACAGTAAAGCTCTGTCGCATACGGTGCTTCTCGTGTCGTTTGTGCTGTAAACAATTTTATATATAATACTTACTTATTCATATTAAAAATTAATTAAAACAGATAATCAATTTCCTTATTAATTTAATAAGGAACACGTGTTACAAGTTTTATGGTACGAGTATATATCATTAAACGTTATGCGTATTATATTAATGATTAACCGTCAACAGTTTGATTTAATCAACATTAAGTATAACGGGTAATCAGGGATCGTGTATCATAGATTACAATATGAATTTTATCGAAGATCTAGTCGTGGGCGAACTTGTGTCAAGTTAATCATATTAAGCTGCCGTGTGTGATCAGAATGTTAGTAAGTCGACCGCGATCACCGGTGCTTGGCATATGATATATCATCTGGCTTGTTATTCAATATTGTTATTTGATCTTACAAAATTCGATACGTATAAAGCACAGAGTAAAACTACGTGTAAGGATACTAAGATTAATATCTTTAGTTAATCACTATACTCATAAGGAAGAACACGTAGTGCAAACAATGCGGCGCCAAGAACCGCCGCCGCCTCAAAGTACAGGCCGAGGAAAGAGCCTGATAGCTATGAGAACGAATCAGCAGCAACAACGAAGAATCCATACCAAGAGCCTTTTGCCAAGGAGTTATTCATCGCCAGCACCTAATAATGATCCAGATATTGCGTCGTCACAAACAAACCCAACAAAGGGCTACGTGTCGAGAAGTTTTTCCTCTCCGGAACCAAAGTATATAGATTACAGGCGTAATTCTGATTCATTCTACAGACCTAAAACTCACGGATCTAGAGGAGAATTAGACTCAGATCTTGAGAATTTCGAACCGTTTGAGGAATGTTTTATAGACATTGACGCAGACCAAGATAATATTTTGGGTACAATTAAAAGAAGCCCTGAAAGGGAGGAACCAAAAAAAGTAGTAACATCATTGTTACCTGGCAGTGGGTTGCAAAGAATTACTATGAAACCTATATCTTCAAGTACTTCACAAACACTGCAAAGCGCACGAGATGTCATGAAGAAAATGCAGAAAGAGGAAAAATGTAAGTACTTTAAAACATGTCACAAATATTTAATACAAATTATATTGTTCGTTAAACTATGGGAGTTAGACTGAAGGTCGTCTTATAGCCTTCACGACTTGTTTACAAGATTATGTATGCAAATAGAAAGATTAGTGTGTGTTTATTATCGAAATTTATGCGGGTTAAACATACAGAATGGATATTCAAATGCATTCAATTGTAATTTACTTTGATATACGTAGTTTGGTTAGGTATTGAATATTGAACAATTAACAGACAGGTAGTTTATGGGTGTAAATATCTGTGTGTAATTTTAGAGCACACAATCCGTAAATATACTCGTACATAGAATGTCTTATATAACGGACACAGTTTATCGATCATTATTTCCTATTTATTGATATAAATATCCAATAAGAACTATATCTAAACTGACTATAGGTAATAATACAATGATTTGTTAGTGTATGTTACGTTAATTATATAGATTGAAACATTTCTGAAACCGACATCTATTATATTAGAGTCCATTTAAAGAAAAATCATATGTCCTAGATGTTGAATTTAAAATCGTAGTTCACTATCCAGTGTGTTAATATTTTGCAGAAAAAGAATATTGTATTAGTAAAATATTGTATGATTTTCCTCTTTAAGGTTTGCAACGACAAAACTCTATCGAGTATCGTCTCCTTTCAATAAGTACCACTAACCTACAATTTTGTTTTATACATGATTCCGTGGATCTTTTTATTTGATATTCCTATCACAGTACAAGACCAGAGATAGACTTTGTACAAAAATAGTCTGCATTAGTACCATATTCTAAATAAGAAGCTGTATTTCTATTTGGAATTACAAAATATAGATGTATTTTATCTATAGTCCTCGGGAATGATAACGAATGAGGGACACTTCTATAGTATCCAGGATAAGGTCATATTTATAGGCCCTTGTTTCCACTTTTGCATGTAGTAAATTGTCAGCTTATATGAGTAAATATAAATAAAACAAATTATATATATAAAAAAATTATATGTTCTCATTGGAATTGTTCTTCACTAACTCCATTCAGTTGTGGATAATAAAATAACTATCGTAGTTAACAAAAGGTGTTCTAAAATACACGAACATAAAAGACAAAATATAAGGATATTTCAACAAACTGTGGTTTATCAAATATTAATTTGACATAAGGTTACAGTGTTTCTATATATTTGATTGTAACATATATGTCAGGAAAATATATATAAATATTAAGTTATTAGCCGATATTTTGTCCCGCGTGGCGCTTACCGATTTATATAGTGATGAAATCTTAAAGATTGATGAATGTAACGTACTAAGTGGAAATGGTCATATAAAATATTCTTATTACAAATAATAAACTCTCATTAATAAAAGAAACTAAATGCGTTCTTGAACTTGAAATTGTTGGATTATATAAATCGTGGTTGGCCAAATCACAAATATAAGAAAGCAAAATTATATTGGTCGCTAAAAGATGAGCTATTGACAGTTGATAATGTCATATTGTGTCTAATACATAATGTGCTCCCGGCCTAGAATGGACCATCCCTTCTTTTGCCGTGGGTGTCGTAAGAGGTGTCCATCTTAAACTTCATTAAGCGTGGCAACTACTGGCAAAATTTCCGCTTTATGGGGGAGGTCTATATTTAGCAATGGATAGTAACCGGCAGATATGATGATAATGATGATGAAAAAATTATTTGGTCAAAACAACAAACAACAAATCTCGAATCAACCTTCATCAAAAATTTTATAGGATATTTTTTCCTTGCATAATTTACAGACCGCAGTATAAACTTCAAACCAATGGTATTAAAAATGCCTGCACGGCACACCGTCCATGACCAACACGAACAATCAGGTATCGAAGAATTGCAGTCGTCTCCACCGCTGGAGCTGGAAGCAGCAGAATTAGAGAGAGAGCTAGACAGGGCTGAACAACACCTTGAGAGGGAGGTAGCCATAGCAACGGAAGAAAGTGATGCTGATACGGTAAGTTTGAGTATTATATTTTTTTATTCTACATTATGTTTATGTAATTCAATAATTGGAAAATATCATCTATATTATTTTAATTTTTTTTTAAGACAAATTTGTATTTGCATGTCTCTGTAAGGCAACATATAAGTCATCTGAAGGACTTATTAAATATTTATTGCCAATAGGTACTATCTAACATGCTAGGTTTTTTTGTAATTAAACAAAAAGAACCAAATGCCAACTACTGAGTACCTATAATGCAATTCTTTCTCCGTTATATATATATTCGTTCGTTATATACATACATATATATATATATATATATATATATATATATATATATATATATATATATATATATATATATATATATATATATATATATATATATATATATATATATATATATATATATATATATAATATAGAGTCAATGATTTACTATTTGTTGCTATACATGTCGGATAAATGATTATAATAGGAACTATTTTTATCATTTTACATTGTAACCTCAATAGACTTGAGAGTTAAGCGGACTATGCCCCGAAATAACGTTTCAACTGTATAACAAATTAAATTACACTTAACTCTCAACGATCACGGTGCTTCCATCCCATTTTGTACAGAAATCGGTCTCTTAAGTAAACTAGAAACTGTGTGTTTAGAGTAACGTCTCTTTATTTTTTTTTTAACTATTCGGTCCAATTTTTATTTATTTATTAAACTTTAATACACCAACAAAGTGTAAATGGCGTACTTAACACCATATGGCGTTATCTACCTGTCGACCAGTTTTTTACTGTTTATTACGTGATCGTAGATGCATACATGACATAACAATCATGAAAGAAATCAAATGAGCTGACAAATTACTTTTTGCCTATTTCTTTCAAAGTATATAACCAGCCAAGTACTTGAATTTCATATAATACATTGGGTCGGATTTATAATTTTTAATACCATCATAAATCGTCATTAAAATAGACGCAAACTTGAAATATGCTGATTATTTATCTGCAGCAATTTTGTCAGACAGTAAAAGTGATCTTATGATTTGGAGTTTGTTACATTTAATATATTTTTCTCCTGATAAATTTGGTTAAATCTCAAACATTCCAGAATTTAGGGTTTACTTTCCGCCTCAGAGTGTTTTTTTGACTCGGGTTCTGTCCATTATTAAATTTGAAGGGAGAAGACATTATCAAAATTTTAAAGGATTTTGTTAATTATTTAGATGATTAATTTGACAGTTTATATTGCTCAGTTTATATCAATTTTAAGTACATTACGCGCTACTATAAAAGGCGCATTATTTAAAGTAAAAAAAAAAAAATAAAAAAGCAGATTTGATTTACACATGCATAAATTTTCGTATTTTAATATTAAGAAAATAAGATTTGTGTATCTTTTAATTGACGGAGCAACTTTGCTCTTTAGTGCTTTTATGTAAATTTACAATATGTAAGGCGCGGCAACTGGTAAAAGAAACATAAAAGCTCAACTGCCACGTTCCAGTAATAATTGATGCGTGGCACGAGACGAGATTACGCCACGGTCTCGACCGCGCTCCAGATACGGCTGTATTTATATTGGTAACCCCGATGATCAAGTTTTATGGGTCACTAAGCTATGGACTTACTTTTCTCTTTTCTGTTGTTTTTACTCATCTCGAATAAACAAGATGTAATTTCAATAATAGATTATTTAGGTACATTTTTAATTAGTTTTTTTTTTTTTTATGCATTACTCCTTCTTTTGCGAGCAAAACTAAGACATGAATAGAAATATTTTTTAGGTCCAATCTCTGGTCGTATAAATTACACTAACTACAATATTTTTCTCCATTTATATCAAATAACAATAACTATATTAATTATGTCGTATATTTTATCGCTTTGCTGATAGACGACATAATGTCCACATTATTATTGTTTTCTGTGTGAGAATATTTTCCTCTAATCGCTCGTTTGCTAGCCAGTGTTTTGTTTACTATGGTTACGGTCTAACACGTGTGCGGTGCAACTCTAGCGATATTATTAGCTCCTCGTACGCCATTCGATAATAATACAATATTGCAAAACACACATACTCTTTACAACATTTCATGAATTTCATTTGCAATAATTATGAATTTAGTGTTGTCATGGTCAACAAGATAAGCAATACTGTATACGGTTAATGAGGTACAAGTTGAGAGGGGTGAAAGGAGCGTGAGGCGCTATGGTTCCCGTGGCAGCTGAACGTAAACATCGCGTGATCGATAGAGCTGTGGCGGCGTCGTAGCGTGCCGTGCTCAGCGACGCCACACTCGATGGTGGTTGCGTTACTTCTCGTCTAGTTGTCGGGCCTTCGAGTGGAGCGCTGCGCGTCTAGCCAGTACACCAGCGGGAACAATAAGCACGCCTTGACCTTGCGACGCGCGGGGGGCAAGACGCGCGATGACGCCAGCGCGGCCGGCACGCGGTTCGGCTTTCGGGTGCGATCCTCCGCGGACGCTATCCGCGTAATCGGTGGTCAGCGCGATTCCGAAGTTGTGTCAAAAATATCGGGGCGGTGGGCGTCACCGCAACGACGGGGACTCTCGCGACGCTCTCATTTCGCGAGCCGGCGCCGACGCCGACGCGCCTCGAACGACCGACCGAGCCGACTCCCGATCCCGTACGTGTGTACCGCGACATGCGCGTGCACCGACATGGGTAATGTGCAGTGCTGCGCCAGCGGACGCTTCCACGAGGGCAAGCTGCCCAAGTCGAAAGATAAGAACAAGAAAAAAAAATCGAAAGGAATTAATAAGAAAACAAACGGTGTTAGTGATAGTAAAAAGAACGGTAGTGTACAGAAAGTGATAACCGTGGCGGAAGACAAGTCTGAGCGCGCTGCGCCCGTGGAGGCGCAGGCGCAAACTTCGCCCGCTGAGGATGCCCGTGGGAGCGACCCTGCGCAGCATGACACGACACAGCAGGGTGAAACGCAACCCGCCAACTCAGAGGACACCGAAACGGATAGTCAGAGAACAGAGTCCATGGCAGTTGCTAGAGAACGCTTCTTCAATCAGGTACAAAAATGTTACATATAAGAGTATATTTTATTATTAGCCAGTAGAAACGTTGTGCTTGCAGCGCGTGACCAAGTAATCCCTTTATCGTTGCGGAACGAATCTGGCGGTCGGTATAGGTTGTTCTGCTTTACATCAACTAATATTATACAGTGATAACTCCTTAATACCTACACGTTTATTATCTTAAACGCAATTAGAATCAATAAAACAGATGTATCTACGTTTATTTGTTTATTTGTAGACGTTTATAGAAATGCTAGCAAAACATTGAGGGTTCCATATATAAAGTGTGGTTTACACTTTGTAAATAAATTAAATTAGAAATTTTTTTTATTATATAAAACATTAGAAGTAGAATAATATATATAATATACGCATAATTTACAATATTAAAGTGTAGAGTCGTTGTTGTATGCGTTTTAATTCAAAAGAAATAAATCTTTACAGTTCATAATATGCTTAGTATAGTAGAAAAAAACCTACATATACCTATCACATATATTTTGGACATATAATTAGTTATGAACAACAATTAAACAAACAAGTTGACATCAAGTCTTTGTTTATTAATTATTTATATAATAATTAGGTATATAACCACAGCATGTTGTGATAAGATGTAACTAATTGGTATCAAGTTTTGCGGAAAAAAATATTACTATTCTTAAATAATTGTTAATATTACATGGTTTGTTTAATTTAATGATACACTGCCATAGATAAGGCTTCCTACGAGTGTAAAAAAAATAAATTGTGTTGAGATATCACTATTGGTTCAAAATTTACATAAAGAAAATCGTAAATTACTTAATATTTTTTGAAAAATCTTAATGAGTTAACTAACATAGCTCATTCCATTAAACTGTTTGTTTTTTAAACATTAATGAGAATGAAAGAAATATATTTTTGATACTTTATAAATGAATACTACTACCAGTTTTAAGGAATGGCTTGTGTTAACGTACTATTTAACATTTGAATTACAATATGATCAAAACAAAACTCTTGTATGTTGTTGAACTAATTTCACTAACGTTCAAGTACTAAAGTAATATGTAGAGATGTACATACATTAAAACGCTTGTGAGGTAAGCGGTGATAAGTCACGTATAGACAGAACCTTATAAGAAAAAATTACGATAAAAAAATAGTAAAAATGTACAACAAAAACACAAATTAAACTAAATGGATCTTATACTTTTTATAAGAAAGAAGAATGAAGCTTCATTCTAGTAAAATCGTGTTTTTTTAACTTTTGAATTCTCTGTTGCCTCTTTCTTGCGGCCAATACAGAGAGCTAAAACGAGTTAAAAACAATATTAAATTATATATATTAATGAGATATGGATTAGAAAACGTACCTACCGAAAAATGTAAAACAATAAGAATTCATAGATACTCAAGTATTTCTTGAATAAATATCTAGGTTTGAAATCTATATTAATATAATAAATGTGAAAGATATCCTATTTGATTTTTTTATACCACTAAGGTGACAAGTAAACATACGCCCACCTGATGGTAAATGGTTACCACAGCCTATGAACGCCTACAATAACATTACGGGGTATTACGCGTGCGTTGCCGATCCTGAAGAAACCTGTTTACCCCCTTTTGAAGAACCCCCTTTCATGGAGAAGCAGTTGAATAGATTTTAATATAACTTTTTAAAGAAATTCATAAATTAAGATATTAAGGGTTTTAAATAATAAAAAAAGTACTTATTCTACGCAAACATAATCGCAATATGATGTAGATAAATAATATTTAATATTTTTATGTAAGCCACTATCGATATAGTGCCAGCGAAAGGTTTAAAAAGATATTGATGTATATCAAAATATATGATTTGTGGGTTTCAGATTACTATAAAATTTCTGTTGCATCAGTCAACATAAATACAGGTATTCAAATAACTATACGAGTATAAACATTTGTACATATAGACGGACAG